TCAGCGATCATCGGTTTAGAGAAATAATTGTTGCTCAAAAGATGCCTTGGCGGAACGATTTGAAAATGATCCAATGAAGTGTGTAAATATATGTACGGTGCATTAATGTCGTTCGTGAACGTTAACGAGTTTCGTTGTAGGCAGTTCTATTGTAAATTAAATAATCGAGATGTTGCGTTTTAAATGAGATACGCCGAGTGAGAATCACGACCGTTATATATATATATATATATATACATATATATAATATATATAACAACAACATCAAAACGTTTTTTTGTCATTGTGAGAATGTTATTTTGATAGGTGGCAGAGATTGATTCTTATTACATAAGTTCATTACAAGAATGATTAAAAACTGAATACACTGGATAAGAATTTATTTACACTTTTTATAAACTCCTCCATCGGACCACATGTTCGTTACCCGTTTTCTAAGCTCGACCAATACCCAAAGGATCGTGTAAATTAACAACTAGGAGTATACTAGTTAGATCTAATTATCAAGGTGTTCTCTTACCTGCGATGTATAGGTGTATAACGTGCAAGATGGTCACACACGGTATTGGTCGAGGTACATGACAATTGTTTCATTTATTCCCAATTATTGTTTTTCTTCTAGCTGTTTTCATGTTTTTTTTCTACTCTCTTGCGTAAACGCGCATTTACAAAATGAATCTTTCACTCGATGTCTACGACATTCACGGTGAAGCCAAAATGTGTGACCACTCTCATTTCTTACACAATCCTCATATCTGTTCTAGGTTTATACATACTTTCTATATTCGAATATACTAACATATTTACCCGTTGCAGAGTGGTCCAAATGACTGGAACCACTCGAATTGAACCACTTTACACCTGAGAATCAGTGGTGTCTCCTAGAGTTTTCAAGATTTTCAAACTCTTTTACACCTAGCCAGATAGCTAAGTGTGTGTGTGTATACAGTATATCACATTGAGATTGTCCTTCCGTTACATGTAAATCCTGCTGGAATATTCTTTCACTGCAACCCACGGTCTTAATATACACATGTACTCTTGTAAGTCACTTTAACAAAGTTAATTCCAGCACGCAAGCCCAAACAAGTGGAAGAACATTCCAGTCGATGACTGGACATCTTGAAAACTACAGCGAATAACAAAATGTTGAATGCCTCACATTTAATTGTGGGGGCCTAATTGTGCGATACACACCCATAATATTAGTTGACTCTGTATATTGCTGCTCTGTGTCGAAATGACGAGAAAAGGGAAAGGGAGAATGAGAGTGAGTGGTTCTAACCTTTGGAATCGCACAGAGTGGAAGCATTTGTGAGTTACATACTACAGGTTTACCGTTCATTCGATGGATGAAGGTGATGATGATGATGATGATGATGATGATGATGATGTTGATGATGATGATGATGATGATGATGATGATGATGATGTTGCTTATGGTAGTGATGTCAGTGATAGTGACGATTATATGATGATGAGGATGTTGATGGTGAATAATGGTGATGAGTTTGAGGATGAGAATGAATATGATGAGGATGAGGATGCGGATGATGGTGATGAATTATGATGATGATGATGATGATGATGATGACTGGGAAGTAGAGGAAAGGCATGGAAGCGTCCACATGAACTTCGAAACAGGTGATTACGAACTGAAATTACTTCTTAGATAGTACGCGTTTTTTGCGTCATCGAAATCCAAACATACTCGCGGCAAGGTCATTCGGCAATAAGAAGCATCTTGTATTCGATGATCCGGTTATTACTTCATCGCGTGTCCGTCCGTTGCCTCATTCATTTGATCCTGATTCATTATTAAATCGGCAATGCTTCGATATCTGTGAATGAAAAGAAGAAAAAGAAACAGTTGCTTTTTGTCAGTTTTATCATTAGTAATTTATGGACAACATTGATTGTATTTTTTTTATTTATTTTCCATTGATTGAATCCTGTTTGAAGAATTGTTCAATTTAAATTGTTAATTGTTCGTTCGTCCGCTTGTCGTTAAATTTTATTCTTCTTGAGGCATTATGCAATCGTGTTTGCTTAGCAATAAGTAAAAGAAAAATACTGTTGTTGACGCACATGTAACTTGTTCTGTGTCGTTTCAATTGAATTACACGGAGTTTCGTGTAAATTGAATAAATCTTGTTTTCGAGTTAACGAGGTAGACAATAAAGAAAAAAGCAATCTGATAAAGTACTGTAGAAATACCTTCGAGAGAGAACATTGTTATGCCTATTATTAATAAATTGAATGTATTGATCACATCACCATAGATGAACACTAATCACGCATATGATTCTGTTCGACAGCTCAGTTGATTGAAATGCAGTCTGTGAACTCACTGGGATTGTTTATTTGCGACACTGTTGCAATGAATAGCCACAGGAATGGGCAATAAACGAGCAAGCATCTGAAAGAGAAGAGAACAAACAAAATAAAGAGTATAAAGACAGACAATAAAGATGGATAAACTATGAGACATTTATAGAAAGTGTGAACAGGTGGTTTGAGAACTTAGATCTTTGTCACAAGCTCCTTAATTTCTGTATATTACAGTTTTGCATCATTTTTGTGGCAAATTTAATTCCTCGACAATTTTATTTTCAGATCGTCCTCGCTGCCATATCTAGTAAATCGACACCTATGTACAACGGAAGAACAAATAAGTCGACCCTAATGACAAATGAAACAATTTTCAGGTTACCAATTTAGGTCATTGCTCATCTATTAACCCATTTGCATCACGGCTTAAATTGCAAGGCGTGTCCCTTATTTATCACCGCAATAGTAAAACTGAACGGTAAACCTTGGATGCAAATGAGTTAATAATATAAGAAATACCATTTTTCAATTGATATTGGTGTGTGTCAACGGTGGATTGGATTATCTTTCAATATTTTCTGCTTGTATGTATACAAAAAATACATTGCAATACAACGAATACACAAAAGAATTCACGTAAAAATAATAAAAATATCCTGAAATAGGAAAAACCATTAAAAAACGATAACGAAACAATGAAAATTCAACAAAAGACTGTATATCCTATTAACTAACATAACGAGTTGTGTGATATAACTTTCCGGAATTGAACACTTTTATCATATTATCAAAGCGATAAGAATTCTGATCCCAGACTTTCGGTATCTTTAACGTTCACGTGTAATTTAAAAATAACTATCAATGGTAATAGATTGTTTTAAAAACAATGGGTAACAATATTTATCATCTGTAGCATATACATATTCCAATGACCCTAAAGTATTATCGTGTTGTTATACTGTAAACCCTCGCTTGGAACGATTTTATACGTCTACTAATTAGTACTGTGTTCATGTTGACTAACAAAAGCAAGCAATTGATATATAAAAAATACTAACAAATCTTAGGATTTTACTTGTACAAATAATTATAATTTGCTGGTAAGTTTCGATAATAATTTTTAAGAGTAACTAAAAGTAAGTTTGATTTTTTTGTAATTTTACAAATTTTCAGATAAACAAGATTGTGGTAACGTATATAACAATTATCATCAAATACTTAAACGAGTAAGAAAAAGAGATTCATGCATTTTTAAATACTAATATTTTCTGCCAATATGTACTCTATGACATGTTTCTTTAATAAAAGCACTGAATTACCTGAAATGCGTAGTCATTTTATTTACTACGTGTTTTATTCAACGCATTAGGTATGATTTACCGATCTAATCAGTACTCTTCAGTTTCATTCGATCGCAACCTGTGAGATAAAAGAAACCTCCATTTATTTCAAGAGCTATCCAAATATTTAATTCGTAGCAATGTTTAAACGATATAATCAGCAGCAGTTCGAAACTGAAAATACTATTAATTCAATGTTATTGAATTCATAAACATGAACAATTCACTATCGTTGAGAGATAAGTTCAAAAACAGTTCTTCAAAGAATTCAACGGTACCCAGAAATTATTGTACTGACTGATATCACTGAAATATATCTATATATTTCAAAGAAACCGATAACAGTTGAGCGCAAAGTTTTAAACTGAATTATGCGTTCGAAACACTCGGTAGATAATGACGCAGCAGCAGCTTCTGAAATTTCCTTTATGCCCTCAGGGTTGAGGTCACTTCAAGGTCACATTATCATTGAATTCGTCTCACCATCGTCTACAAAAGCGTACTTAACCGTTTGAGTGCTAAGCGATTTTTTTTAATACATGCGAAGATTGCTGAGCAAAATTTGGACTAAGAAAAATGAATTATAATGGCTTTACAAATATAAACACAAAAAACACAAAAAATGACATATTTCAATCATTTTTTTACACTGATGTGATCTCGTCGCTATATCGACGAAACGCGCTCAAATGGTTAAACAAAACGCCAGTTACCATTAAAAAAAAAATCATTATTTTTCAAGGATAAATCATTTGCGCATTAAATTGTATACACCACGTTTTGTTCTATTACTAAAAAAAGAAACATATTCTCAACCAAATGAGCCTCTGCGTCTTTCCTGTTTCGACGACTCCGTCTGCAGGAGTATCCTTATGCGATTGTATGCATACACATTAATTAATTTGAAAGTCATTGTATCAAAGTTCAGCTGTATAAAATTACGTAAGAAGAAAAATACAGGTCTGGGTTAGGTACTTGTTGTACTTTGATCGGTTATGGACGGGAGACTGATGATTGTGCACATAGAACCGTAACCGCCGCGATATAACTTATATCATATAAAAGAGTTCAGTGATCAGGTTAGAGTAGGTGAAAGCACGGGACTGGTGCTCGCGGGTGAAATGCTTGTGGAACGTCATTCGGTTGCGGTGTAGCTGATTCACTGCGGCTGTCACCCCACCACCTGTTCACCTTCACGAACCTCCAAACTGGACGCAGAAGAGTTGTGACCGTCGTGGTGGACGGGTAAAGATTTTTTTTTCGTTCATCGGACTTTTGGGCGATCTGGAAGAATGGCGCCAGCAATCAGTAAATTCGCAACCAGGCGCACGGTTGCTGGTGCTTGCGCGTTGACCGCGTTGATATGGATCCTAAAACGAAGAGGCAGAAAGCAAGTCACAAAGAACAGGTAAACGGAGCAACCGTGTACATAAAAGCTCTCGCTGGTTCTGTCGTCGAAACACTCACGGTTGTTTATTATTGTAGGAATGCATGGCCCGCTCATGACATTCAATATGTTATTAAAGAGGTAAGAATACCAAATGCTTGAGGCAATGAATCATAATTAACGACTGCACACACGCTTTCATTCGCAGAAGCCGAAACGTCCGAAAGCGTACGTTAATGCTCGATTTTTCCGACAACTACGACAGCTACTCAAGATCGGTATACCATCCATCGTGTCTCCGGAATTTGGATTTGTTCTTCTAGTTGCTGGTTCGTTGGTTGCGAGATCAGTGTGCGACCTGTGGATGATAAATGTAGGAACTTTAATCGAATCGTATGTAATATTTGTCATCAGTGTAGATAAAACTGTAAATTGTCTAAAACCTTTTTGAACTTTACATGCTCCTTTGTATTTTTCCTTAGGTCAATTGTTAATATGGATCAACCCTTATTTAAGAAACGTCTATTCAAATTCATGGCTCTATTGCCTGTGGTAAGTGAATGTGTTCGATGAAACAATCAGATTGCTAATGTTACTGTCATAGGTTGTTAACAAAACCTTCTCCATCAGGCTGCCAGGCAGCTATATTTTATTGTTGAAAAGAATTATTGATGTAATCCTCCATGATTGTATTTATTTAGATCTCTCTTGTGAACAACGTACTGAAATATGGAATATACGAAATGAAACTGAGGTTACGTACAAATATAACACGAAATTTACTGGATCAGTACCTGAAGTAAGTGCAAATGTTTATGAGTACTTATATATTGTCTGACTTAGACCCTGTAAAGCTTCAAATTATTATAATGAGAAGTGAAAACCCATTGTGCATTTGTGTATTTAACTTTCAAAATACTTAAGATGTAGTTAAGCCGCTTAATTAATGCAGGGGCTTCACATACTATAAAATGAGTAACTTGGACAGCCGAATAGCGAATCCAGATCAGCTTTTATCTACAGATGTTGATAAATTCTGTGAAAGTTGCACAGATCTCTACAGCAACGTTGCAAAACCTTTATTGGATATTTTTATCTATGTCTACAGACTCACAACTAACATTGGTGGTCAGGTATGTTACTGAAGCGTCCCCTTATCAAAATGTTTATGCTGACGGATACATATCTCGTATTACAGACACCAATAATTATACTGTCGTACCTAATCTTTGCTGGTGCAGTAATAACGCATCTACGTAAACCAATAGGATCAATGACAGTAAAAGAGCAACGGCTCGAGGGTGAATACCGTCACATTAATTCACGATTAATCACAAACTCCGAGGAGATCGCGTTCTACCAAGGAAACAATAGAGAAAAATTAACCTTATTAGCTAGCTTTTATAAACTTGTAAGTAAAAGATATATATTCGCTACTTTTCAATTATATTTTCCTTCCATACGTATATCCCATATATTACATTCGTGTTTATTTCAACAGGTAACACATCTTCGGAAGTGTTTGGAATTCAAAACCTTCATAGGAATAATAGACAATTTCGTTGGCAAATGTAAGATACGAGTCGTTTAAAATACCATTTGCTTATTGGTAATAACTCGAAAAACATATTAATATTTTTATTTTAGACATGGCAACGATCGTTGGTTTCTATGCAGTAAGCATGCCGTTCTTCCAAAAGAATCATCCGATCCTATCAGGGACCCCTGATCATCGATTTAAGAGTTATTACACGTACGGTCGTATGTTAGTAAAACTAGCTGAAGCTACAGGTAGATTAGTTTTAGCTGGACGAGAATTAACACGGCTGGCAGGATTCACGGCCAGAGTTACAGAGATTAAAGTTGTCCTGGACGATCTGAACGCGGGAAAATATACAAGAACAATGATTTCGGACTTTAAAGATGAACCGATTGGGAGTCCAGGCGCTGGGAAGATTGTGACCAAAGATAACATTATACATTTCGATCGTGTGCCATTAGTAACGCCAAACGGTGATGTTCTAATCAGAGAGCTATCGTTCGAGGTCAACTCAGGAATGAACGTATTGGTATGCGGTCCCAATGGTTGTGGAAAGAGTTCCCTCTTCAGAATTCTTGGAGAAGTAGGTTATAAATTCGTTTTCACTGGTACTTTAATCAAATGATTATTGTTTCAATTTTTCGTACTTTATCGAACTGTTGTTGAAATAGTTATGGCCAGTTTGGAGCGGAACGGTAACTAAACCCCCACGTGGAAAATTGTTTTACATACCACAACGTCCTTACATGACCTTGGGTACACTGAGGGATCAAATAATTTATCCTCACACAAAAGAAGAAATGATTAGGCGTGGTAAGGTGACGGACAACGACCTTAAGAAGTTGTTGGATCTAGTTCAGTTAAGTCACCTTTTGGAAAGAGAGAATCTTACAAATACGGAAGGTCTAGGGTGGGACGTTGTAGCGGATTGGATGGATGTACTGTCGGGCGGTGAAAAACAACGTATAGCGGTAATACGATGATTTCCTGTCGTGCAAAGATTATAATAGAAGAAATTATTCTACAATATTAATTAACTGTAATTACCGATTTGCACAGATGGCTCGACTCTTCTATCATAAACCTCAGTTTGCGATTTTGGATGAATGTACGAGTGCCGTTAGCGTTGACGTTGAAGACTCGATGTACTCATACTGCAGAAAGGCGAACATCAGTTTGTTCACAGTGTCCCATCGACGGTCGCTTTGGAAGCACCACGAGGTACGAGAATGTTAACAGTTGTTTTATCTAATATTTCACGAACGATCTGAATCATAATCTCTTTCCAGTATTATTTGCAAATGGACGGAAGGGGAGGCTTCGAATTCAAACCCATCGAGCCGGACACGGAAGAGTTTGGGTCGTGAATCTTCGTGTCCCTTGCATCCAATCTAGTACTTGCCAAAATGCAGGGGACGGTTCCTTTGTAATCCGATTGATGAACAAAGTATTTAATGTGACATTTTGTTTTACTTAACAATTACACGCGGATACAGCCACGTGTTGTCAACCTGCACAGATTTACGATTACATGTGTATATCACTATTTAAGACGTAGCGCATAATACCTGTATATTTTTTATAAATGTTTTTTTAGAGGTTAACGCGTAAGCGTTCTATGCAATATAGGCCCTAATCTGTTAGTACCCTTGAATATTAAAACTGTATAAATATACGTTCTTCGAATACTATCAAGAGGGGAAAAATGTAGGAATATAATTCCTTTTGTGGGTGGGAAGTTTAAGCTATACCGTTCGACTCGACCAAGCATATTTTTGATACCCAACAATTTTTCTCTAGTACAAAACCGTATGACCAGTGAATGTTAAATGTATCACGTACGTAGAAGAATTTACTACGGGAATATGTATGTATATGTACACACGTGTATATGAAAAGACAAAACACGGGTTTGTTGTTTCGAATTATGTTCTATTTAAGAATGCAGTTATAACTTGTTATGTGTAGATCACATTGAGCAGACTCGGTCATAGCGTATATCGGATTGCTGGACAATAAGAATGTGTAATGAAATAAACGACAAAAAAAATCTTTACGTTACCCTGCTGCCGTTTCCGCACACATCTCTACCATTCTGTTTTGTTATTTTAACATATGACTTGTCGAATTCCAAATGTTCATCGATTTCGGTGTATCTCTGCTGGAAAAAAAGAAGGATGTCCCAATAAGCGTCAATTTCAAATTTCTCCCGGTTCAAAAGAAGCAAAATCGCGCGCACCTACCGGCCACGAATGGCGCTTCGTCTCCGACCGTTCGATCCGCCATGTTCGTTGACCATTGATCGGTCAAAGGAAGTTCGCGGGCCGGGGGTCTGGGAACCCAGCAGAAGTCCGGGCTATCAGGTATTCAGTTGTCGGTCGCAGGTCGCAGGGTTCGTGCGATCGAGGCTGGGTCGTTTGCTGCGTGGTGTTGCTGCGCGCGCGCGCGCGTGTGTGTGTGTGTGTGTGTGGTGCGTGTGTGCCTGAGGGAAGATAAGAATAAACGAGATACTACAGAAGTAAAACAAAAAAAAAAGGGCGAGTCACATTGGTGCCCCCGTCCTGTGTGTGATCTGTAAAAGTGACAAGAAACTTGTGGCAGCGGCGGATACGGAACGTACGAGAGAACAAAGAAACACCCAGCAGCCTGGATATATCTCTCGTGGAATCGATCCCCATAAAGAAAGTGATTCACATACGTGTGGTAGACACTGGGGAAAATCTTGTAGAAACGTAGAAGAAAAAAAAAGGAATCGCATGATACGCTGTTGTCTCCCTGCGAGAGACTGAATAATAATTCACAATCTATCTCTGTCTCTCTTTTTTCCTCCCTCCTTCCTTTCTTTTCACCGTGGCCGTTTCTCTTCCCCGCCTCTCTCTCACTCTCCTGCCGTTATAAGTATCTTTCGTGTCGCGTCGTCGTTCCCTCGTGGCGTGCGCGTTCCCGAAGGCACCGTGGTTGGACCTTCCTCCCCTCCCCTGCCGCCGTCCCTCCGACACTGTGCTCGTGCACCGCGGAACGAGCGTGTCTCGCTCGTCTCGTCGGGACAGGCTAGGACGCCGGGAAGAGCACAGGTGCAGCAGGAGGTGTGGGTGCGTGTGTGGTATATAGCCTACGACGCGCGGTCGGAGACGACGTGAGCCTGGAACAAAGTACATAATATATATATATATACATATACACGGTGCGCGCGTACGAAGTCGGGGCGGCGAGGTGTCGGTAACAGTTGTGTCGTGGCAGAATGGACGGTAGCACGGGTCCGCCGTCGGACGTGACGACGGCGATGGGAAGTGAAAATGACGAGGGTTCGAAGGTGCGACGGGACAGCAGCAGCAACGATTCGTCGACCGTTGTCTCGACCACGACGGCGTCGAGCACGGCCACATCAACATATTCGACGACAAGTCAACCGGAATATTGCGGCCAAGGCTTGATAAGGGCCGGTTCCGCTTCTCCGCTCCCTACGACCGCCGCCGCCTCTTCGTCTTCGTTGTTCTCCTCCTCCTCCACCTCGACCACCTCCTCCTCCTCCTCCTCTTCTTCGTCAAAGCCGCAGTCGGGGTGTGGCTGCGTCGCTGCCGCCGTCCTCGAACCCGACGAAATCACCATCAACATCACGCCGACCACCGGTGGCCAGTTCGATCTCACTGTGGATCGTACTGAAACCGTGGAGAATCTTAAGAAAATCATCTCGAAGAGACTGAAAGTCACTAAAGAACGCATTTGTTTGTTGCATCGTGAAAGGTTGGTATACATATATGACCCGTGGACATTGTTTTTATTTTAAAAAACAAAAGAATTCCTTTGTTTCAATGATTCACGGAGGGGGCCAAATAGGGTGGAAATTTGGGTTTTTCTCGCGTTCTTTAAATCTACATACGACGGGCGCTTTATCCACAGACGGGGATTCATCCGTTCCGTTGAATTTTTCTCTCGAACCGGTCGTGGGGCGGGGAGGAGGGAATTAGGCGTAGACCTCGCCCCGCGTTTCTCCGGGGGTTGGGGGGGGAGAAGGAAGAAAGAAAAAGAAGGACTGGGTAGGTGAACGTGTGCATGATCGTTGGGCTGTGCACACCACACCGGTGCCCAGAGCCCAGAGCCCAGAGTCGTCGGAAAGGTGCGAGAGAAAGAACGAAAACACAGCGTCGACGCGGGCGACACGAGAAAAAGAGAGAGTGGGCATAATATTCGTAGGCGTCGTGGGGGCCGCCGCACGGACTGATCCTCCTCCTTCGTGCGAGCACGCGAGAGAAACATGGTGGAGAGGAAGGTTGGCATACCATACGACTCACGAGAGTAGGTGGTGGTGGAGGTGGTGTAGAGTAGGTAGAATATCTCGGGAATCGCGTTCCCGTAAAGTGGAACGGTGACAGCCCGCTGTGGCGAGAGGTAGAAAAAGAAACAGAGAAACAGTTGGATGGAAAAGACGACGACGAAGACGACGACTACGTCGGGGTCGGCTATTCCCGTACGCGATACATCGCTGGAATTTTCTCTGTTTCTCTTCGTCTTCCCCTCTGACCTCCTCCACCCTCTTGAATTCCTTTTTTCTCTTGATTCTAGTAGCGATGGGTATACCAAGGCTCTCCGTCCTGTTTTTTTTTCTTTCCCTTTTCGACAAATTTACGTTCCATGGAATATTCAAGTCGCCTAAAAATTATTGTATCCCCCGTTAATCCACCGTGAGAGGGTTTCAGAATGAGGGTATGCGATTACCTATTCCCGGAATTTCTTGCATTATAAAGTTTAAAAATAGAATTATACGGATGGTTGAGGGTGTCATGGATCACCAGGCGGCGAGGTTGAGAGCCTCTGCGTGTTACACGATCGAATTGCTCGAAAACTTACTGCGAGAAGAAGTGAATGCTCTACCCATCACTACTTGTTTCTTCGTGCTTGCCTGCCGGGCCAGTTTCAGGCGCAGGTAGCACACGCTGGTTCCTTGTCGCGTATTTAATGTGATGTGTGTATGTGTGCTCCTCGTTTCTCAGCTTGTCCCCCCCGCCGGTGTGTGCAACACGTGCATGCGAGGAACCCATTCGTGGTGTGTGCGTTCTTCGTGTAGTGTCTAATTGCTAAATTGTGTTGATGCCAGCATATACCAACACCCACCTGTAAATGTTATATTGAATTTCGTACAGAGAAACTTACAACTATTCTTGACGCTTTAAATTACCAATCTAATTAAATTCAATCTCGTCACTGACTTCTTGAGGCATTCTTGCAAACTGCTGTTTTATTACTGCAATATTTAAGCTTCTTCAGAGTTTTTTTTTTTAAAGAAAATAAAATAATGATACATACAGATTGCAGTGTTTATACTGTCTGTATGCTCGGGAACTGGGTTCCAATAACAAAAACAAGTCGCCGATTGCGGTGCAATTTTACCTTAACTCTTCTGTGTCACCCAGTCAGCATGTGTCATCGCAAGTCTCATACCTGTTAGTCATCCTAGTTGCACATACAAGGAATGCGGTTCTTTTTCTGCGCGTATAGTTTTGTCGCCGAGGGTCATCCGTCAGAAAAAGCATTCGAATTCCCTTTGGGCGGTTCAAGTACGTCGCGATATACGAAGATGGCAATGTCGTTGGCTGAATCTGATGAATGAGCCGAATTCAAGTACATATATTTCCCTTGTCTGAAGATCATGAAGGAATATCTTCTCAATAATTAAAGATTTCACTTTGCAATTTAATAACAGGAACAACAAAGTTGCGGAGTATAATTTGAAGCGAACAATGCGAACTCGATAGTGACTTGACCTCAAGAATGATAGCAAGGAGAGAATAATATTTATAGTACATCGAGTAAGAATGATCCTGTCGTATCTTTCTTTATGTGTACGTATATTTACCCCGTTTTAGACTTCGCTTATTCTTAGAACGCTCGCGTGGATGTATTCTCTCTCTCTTTCTCTTTCGTCCTCATTCATATCAAACTCCAACGTCTACTTAGCATTCGGTTTTTCAACGTTCTAATGTCAGGGTCCAAAGACTATGAACGGCTCCATTATGATTTACTGCGCGCAAAATAGAATCGTGCGTTTATACAAACTGACGGGTTTGTTTTCGTTCGACTCGTACCGAACGCGATAAGCTTCTCGGAATCGGAGCGATTCGTGTGAATCTTTGTGTCTCCTTAACCTGCTGTTTGTAATTATCATGTAAAGCGTGGTGCAATGCTCGATATTCTGCAGATTCGACATGAATCAGTCGTATAAAAATGATAAGAGTATTTAAATTGGTCGTACTTCGTCGAGACTCCAACAGCATAAAACAGTCATTTCGGTTTGGACAAGCATAAAAGGTCAGCGACTCCATCGTACCAGGATGTTCACGAAAAACCGTTAAGGCTTGTTTGAGTCCGTGCAAGTGGCGCCAGGGGTCGCGACTGAAAGCCTCGAAGATCCGTCACCCTCGCACTTCCGTTTCCTATGCCGAATATTTACTAGAAAATTACTACTTGTTTCCCGATGTTCCATTAGATGTATTTAATTGACGCTCGATTTCAAAGATACCAAATAAATCATTCACTCGATGAATTTCTGAATCGAACTCAATTCATACGAATACTGAATGTTGGTATTTTTTAATACGTACATACTTTAAAAAGGTACCCACACTTTGATCCACTGGGTCTTTTGTGAATGATCCGAGAAAAAGTGCGAGGCAGGTAATTGGGCTATTTTTACCGTAACAAGCATCGCAAATAAATTACAATCGGGCGTTACCCCGTGTTGTATAATCTTCCCTGTCTCTGTGTTGCCCGTAACTATAGCGCAACGTCAATTGGATCTTCCTATAAGTGTCGATATACATGTGCGTATATCCTTAATCTTGATACGGTTTTTATATTTCCACCAGCTTTCTTCATGCTAAGCTATACTTTGTATTAAGCAGATCAATTGATAAACAAACGACATTGAACGTTCGCCTTGTCGACGAGTGTGCTGCATCGAAGCAGATACGTGTTCTGACGAACAAATAGGGGAAAAAAAGATAATGGGCAGGGGCAAGAATCCGAATCGTTTTTCATCGAACCCTTCGATGATTTCTAATTATAAATACTGCTCAGGCTTACCAAATCGAAGTGAAATTTCTGAAGAGGAAGTTGCGCAACAACTTCTGCGACATGCTACATCAATATCAATTTCTCATGTGCTATTTGTAGCTTCATGGGATGTCGGTTGTAACGATAATGTTGCTTTGTCGGATCTCGTCTCTACTCCCTTGAATCGTGTAACTCTGTTATCATTTTTTTGTTGTTTTCAATGCGTTCGCGACAACGAACGTCAATGTTACGTAGATAAATTCTGCAGTCTGCATTAACGTTACCGAAGTTTTTAAAACTTTGCAGCACTCCTCGCGCCAACGTACTTTTTAGGCGGTTGAAATTTAGTCATGTATCACATTCTCTTTCAAGAGTGGTCTCTCATGCAGAAATTTCCCGCGAGGGAGTGTTGTGGATGATACAGAGGATTAATGACTCATGCGAACCAGCCTTATCTAATAAATATCAGAAAACGATCGAAATACTATTTTTAATGAACGTATCCGATAATGTCAACACAAACTTTCAATAAAAACTTTAAAATATCTGTTTCAGGTTATTGTGCGTAGGAACTCTAGAGGAAAATCGTTTGCAAGATGGTAGTCGACTCACGTTGCTACCAAATGTGGAAACCGGCCTGTTGGTGAGTTGTATTTTCTACTTTTTATGAGAAAATGTTAATGGGGGTCGACAATGTTTGTTTTTTACGATTATCCTTTCGTCCACGGTAATTCGATAATTTCTTGCGCGTCATTAGCCAATCAGGTTCTAGGAAAGTACGCTCGAAAAACGTAAGTCAGTTTCCCTTCAATATATCCCATTTTCAATGGCGACTTCACAGTCGATAAAGTGGATCGATAACCGTCACCCGAATTCGTAGAAACGACGCGTCAAATGCTCCAGACGTGTTTTTTCATCGTATCCGTGATTAACAACCCGGATTCACCTCGAGGTTGCTGCTCGAAAACCGTTCTTCGCCGCAGAGGATGCGTGAAACAGGAATTCTCACAAGAGAGTCGCCCGATCCGAACAAACGCCGTTAACTCTGCCTGTTCGTGTATCATCGGGTCACTTGGTTTCTCGGTCACCGTATCGTCGGGGACGCCTTATTTTCCGGTACTATTGCATCATACTTTTCTTATGTCGATCGTTTAACGATCTTCGAAAGTATAATTCGGCGAACGAATCGAAATAGGAACACGGAGGATTCTATGATTATCTATACTGTCGAACTCTTAATTGGTGTGTTACCGATCGGGTAAGAGGTACGTAGTGTTTCTTGGTAATTCGATCGTTTCCCGTGGATGATGCTTCGGTACGTTCGATTTGTTATGGGTTTTAGAACGAAACGACAGTGATGGTCAACCGATCTGGAAGGAATAGGACTCGCTGAGAAGAATTTTACACGCGTTTCAAAGGGATATAAATAATGTATACTGACGTGCTCTCCTAGGGAAGAAGTGTCGTGGGGGATGGACCTTTTACCACATGATAACTTTATTTTAAGTACTGAAATAATAGTTAAAACAAATGTTAATTTGGCATACATTCCAATAGTTCCCGATAACAAATATTAGGGGGCCCTTCTCCTACGTCACTTTTTACCTTAGTGGAAGCCGAGTTTGTTCGTGAGGGTACACTAACAAACTCTGCTTCCTCTAGGGGAAATAGCAATGTAGAGGTAAGAGTTTCCTACAGCTTGATAAATTTATTTCAAATACTAAAATAAATGTTGAACCGAATGTTAATTTGGCATAAATTTCAGTAACTCCGAAACCAAGTGGAGGGTACGAGATCTTTCCCTTAAATCATTTTTTCCCCTAGAGGATGCCGAGTTTGCGAGGGTACGCGATCTTCAGCTGTTTGTTAGATTCGAATCGATAAAAATGAAGGCTCAACCGTGCCCGCAGCCGGTGCACTTCAATTCAAAGGATATCGCCTCGTCTCTTTCATTGGAATCGAGCCTAGCCCCCAGTATACTTGAGGCGTTGGCAACAGCGCGCCATGGGTCCTTATCGCGACCGAGAAGACTCGTTCGCATTGCTGTCAAGGGGACCGCCCGCTCGAGTCTCGGTCACCCGGAGTCAATTTTAAAGCTGCTCGTGGGTATATGGTATATGCGTAGCGAGCTGCCCTGGCCATGATCACTATATGCCGTTCTTTCGTGGGTGGTTACGGGGGAAACAGGGCGAGACCTACACACACACACATATCGCCAGTTTCTCATACACACGGGGGCACGGTTGGCCAGCCTGATCGGTTCTCTATCGGCCTAAAGCTGCGTCTGCACTATATAACATGTTATATAGCTAAGTTATAAAACTTGTTAGAAAAACAGGAAGTAAAATGTTATATAACGTGATGTTACATAACATTTTCCGTGCTATATAGCAAGTTACATGTTATATAGTGTACACGCAGCTTAAGAATACGTTCCGATCGACACGCACCTCCCGGATAGAGTTTCTTCTTTCGAACTTCTGTTTCTTGAGATTCTTCTGGACTTTTTTTCCGAATGCCTATCGGGATCAAGATCACAAATGCCTTGAACAAAGAAGGTTATTAATGGTAAACGGTCTACTCACGGAATCATTGTTTATCGACGCTTTGAAAGTTGTTATAAAATTTGTAAATTATACCCTCGTGGCAGGTGGCAGGGAGCAACGACTCTGCTGAAAGGAAGAAGCTATATTATACTCGAAGCGCCTCTATAAAACATTTGAAATTATAAGTAATTATACAGAGAAACGGAGAGGACCCCAGGAGAGCCTCTGTTAGATGTCATTTGTCTGTTTCTCCTGAATTTCCATTGTCTTCAAGATAGTCGTGTTTTAAACACAGGCGTCGCAGGGGTTCTCAATCCCTGTTTCGAAAAGGTATACATTTACGTTTCTTTCTTCTCTGAGAATAAGATATTTGCATTAAAGTATGAATCGATTTCTGCGTGGTAGGAAGAGAAGGAGGCGTAGTCGATTGGATAATCAGTTTAAAGTTTGATAGGCAGCGACTGACTAAAATGCCACGGCTGGGAAGTTTTATCGATCGTGTCTATGGAAATTCTGCAGGCGACCAGCACCTCGCGCTTTCGCATTATCTCCAGGGGGACGTGGGAAGCGTCCAAAAGCGGCATTAAATGATAATTCGATGCCGCCCGTGTTGCTTTGATATATCGTTCCCGCAGTACAGCCCCGCGATTAATCGTTGCAGGCGTTGCCCGGCGATAAATCAGAAGCTCCCGCCCAAATGGAAGAAAGAATATTTCATTATTTAATTTGCCTATGTATAAAAAAAAACGAGACTCCTGTACTGGAATGCTTTAAGCCCAACGTTGGAAAGATATGCTTGATCGAAGTAATTTATAAAGACAGGCAAAAATGTAGAACTCATATTGGGTTCATACTAAAATGGAGAACTCATTGAATCCGATGAAAGCTTCGTCCTTTATTGTATTTCACAGAGATCTGTGGGCTATAAACGCATAAAATCCACAGTCTAGTTATAATATTATAATGCAATTATATTTTATATGGGCCCCATTGATACCGTGCATGGCAAGGTAACCATAGGCCGTTGAAAGTAACGCATTACATAACCACTTTTCACTCGATTCGGTTCTAATCCGCTGAACTTTCAGGGAAAAAGGCTAGAACCCTTCCACGTGGATTGGCTTGCTCTTAAACAAGCGCATTAGATGGCTGAAGAACGGTGTGTGTTGTACCTGCAGGTCCATTCATCGAGAAGCCCAGATTCCCCACAAAAACTAACGCCCGTTAGTGCTAGCGCGCGCAAATCGAATTACCGAATATACGATGACCGTCAGTGAAAGGAAGTCTGTTAGGTGTACCGAGGGATATGCCTGGTTTCGCCGTCGAGGGTCTGAGCCGTGGTTCCGCGAGGTTTCCTCTCTTCTGCAGGTCTTCTCGCGTTTCCATCTCTCGCGACGTAGGTTCATCGATTCAAGCTCATCTTGCCTGGGTGGATGAATAGCCAGGCAGGGGAGAAAAAGAACGGTTATTGGCATTCAGGTTTTTGGAGTAGGAAGAGGGATCTTTCCTCCGTGTCCTTGTGTGACGATTCTTCAATAGTTGCCAATCTGAGCAACCGTAATCACTGAAAAGAAATCGGCGTCGATAAAGCTAGAAGAATTATATATTACATTTTTAATCTAATCCTTGTCTGATATGTGTACAGTCTCCTCTGATTCGAGTATTTCTCTGGAAGGATGTAGGGACATTCCCACGTAGGTTTATGATGCATTTGTTATGTAGTAAAAGTCGTAAAATTGACGGCCGTAGTCGATGGTTAATTCAGCCATTCTCGGCTATGGCTTCCGCTCCCTTGTCTTCCTCGATCAGTGCTCTTCAGCCTGGTAGAAGACGATAGCGGTTATGATTACCACAAATACGCCCAGTTAAGATGTGTACTGTTTTAACCATTTCCGGTCCTCGTTCGGACTCTCTCAGACCATCAGAAATTTCCTGTTGTGGCCCTCTGCAGGACTGTCAGTCCAACAGATGTATTTCAAACGATACTTTACATTCTTCAACTGAACATGGCGTCTTAGTTCAGCATCCTATAATCTTTCCTTTCACCGTGGTCTGAATCAAGTGGTTCGATAATTAACAGAATGTTACCCGTCGATAATGCGAGGTATGCTAGTGGTATTATCATAATGGGTGGTATGTAAAGTAACGGTGAAATAGATGGGGAAATTTTTAACTCGGCTGTCACCTCTGAAGGGACAAAATGTATGGGAAATTAGAAATTTCCAGTGTAACGGCTTAAAGAATAAAAAGCCAAGCAGATAGTTATACATTTGAGCACGTGTCACTTATCCACGAATATATTTTCAGGTACAACGGCCGGAGCAGAGCGTCATGCAAGCGCTGGAGAGCCTCAACGATTTCCAGGTGAACGACTTCTTGTCCGGGAAAGCTCCCCTTAATCTCACCATGCGATTGGGCGATCACATGATGCTGATACAGCTGCAACTGTCCACGGTAACGCCGGCCTCGCCGACTGCTAATCAGACCAGCAGCAATACCACCGGGTTGACCATAGGCGGAAACAGTTCGACCGAATCGAATCTACCCCCCAGCCTCATCTCGACCGCCTTGAAGACCAGACAATCCACGTTTCTGGCTGCTCGCCCGTCGGCCACCAGCGCTGCAAGGAGACTACTAAATGGCATTGCGGCCAAGCGACGGACCTCGTCCGGGATAAGCAAAATAGTATCAGCGTTGCACGCAGCTGCTATGCGCACCCCCGACTTATCGCCGGTCACCACGACAACCAACCCAGTTTGTTCCTGTCGCGCAACAACTGTATCAACAGTTTCGTCCACCTCCTCCTCTTCATCCTCCTCCTCCTCATCATCATCCTCTTCTTCCTCCTCCTCCTCATCCGCCTCTTGCTCACCTATTAGTCCCACTCATTCGTCTTTCTGCACTAACCAGTCGCAAACCGTGCGCACTGGTGCAAATCACAGCCCGGGATCATCGCCTAACAGCAATTCAAACGCGTGTCAGTCCTGCCTTCCCTATCATCACCATCACCACCACAATCACCATCATCACCACCACCACCACCACCATCATCATCATCACTCCGGAAACAAACCCACCCCTACAACCACCACGACCACCACCGCTGCTGCCGCCCCCGCCGTGGCATCGCCGAACGCCTCTCCCCTTTTCAAACACTCACTATCCTCTGTGGACCACTCGCAACGCCCAATTATCTCCCTGTTCCAACACTCACGATCATCCGTGGACCACTCGCAACGCTCCCCTATCTCTCTGTTCAAACACTCGCGATCATCCACCACCTCTCTTTTCAAACACTCCCGATCATCCACCACTTCTCTTGTGAAACGCTTGCGATCATCCGTGGACCACTCGCAGGACTCCACCACCTCTCTTTTCAAACACTCGCTCTCCTCCGTGGACCACTCGCAACACTCTACTACCTCTATTTTCAAACACTCGCTCTCGTCCGTGGATCACACGCAACACTCTACCTCCTCGGTCGGTCACGGATGCACGGACAGCACGATACCACCGAACGACATCGTCACACCGCCAACGAAAAAGCTCTGCGCCGGTCATCACCATAGCCAACAGTCGACGGAATCATCCAGGAGCGCCAACGTGGCGGACGGCGGTGATTCGAGCCCACAGAGTCCCGGCTCGTCCTCCTCCACGGTGAAGCAGGACACCAAAGCCGCGACCCTCGACACCAGAGCACTCGTAGAAGCCTCCCGTAATTTAACGCAGAAACTGAAGCAGCTCTCCTCTGAGGTATTCACCTCGCGGGTCGACCTCGCAGAGGTATACATTATTACCGATGCCAGTTCCCCCCTGTGTACCACTATTTTCGTATTTGTTTAGAGAAGTTTGCGTTAAAAAGGTCCTAAGAGAGTGGGTAGTTATGTTGTGGGAGTTTACATTGTGCAAGATAAAAACTATTCCGTGTGATTCACAAACCGAATTAGTTCTAATAGGGATGATCTCTTGGGTCCTTGTTTTGATCATTTCATTTCAGTGGAAGACATGATAAGTTCGTACCTCTTACCACCGACGAGGTATAAAAATAGAATTTTCATCTAATGGGAGTTGAAAAGTCACCGAAATTCTGGTACCGACACCTTAAAAACCCTGTGATTTTAGCGACCTCTACGTTATGAGAACAGTGAATACGCGGTGGGTAGTCACACTAAGATGGAAATGGGGTAATGTAACCCCAGAAAAGTGGGCCCAAAAAAGTACATTGGATGAAATGTCTACTCCTATACCTCGTCTGCAGTACTACTGTCCACACAAGCGTCTGTATAAATGATGTAACATAATTATCACGTCTTCTATCTTGTGACTTGATGTTTCTACAGTAAACATTTTCTTATTAATAATTTGAACTAGCTGAAATTTAAATGACCGCCTGTGATTAATCAGGGAATTATTGTTTTTAACACAGGAGAACACAAGACGTCGGCAGGGTGCAATAATCCAGAGTATGCATCACCATGGAAAGGGTGTTTACTCTGGTACCTTCAGCGGGACACTGAATCCAGCTCTCCAAGATGGTCATGGACGTCCGAAACGCGACATAAGCACTATAATTCACATTTTGAATGATTTGCTGTGCGCTACACCAGCCGCCACTGCTGGCCACTCCAGTCATCATCACAGGCATTCCAGTGATCGTCAGCAATCGTCGACATCTCCGTCCTCAACTGAAACGACAGCGACTGTGAACGATGCATCAACACCGATCGGTAGTTGCCACAACTCTTCTACATCTGGATACTCTACTGGTATCAGATAATACGATTACAATAGAGAGAATCAATTTGTTCTACACGCGTACAGTAATCATAGTCGAAATTTTCACGCAATTGTACATCCACGAGCAAACTCGGCTTCCTCTAGGGGGAAATGTGGCTGAAAGTGTGACCACTGGGTCTCAGGAATTACTGAAATTAATGACAAATTAACATTTGTCTCGGTATTTGAAATAAATTTACTAACTGGTAGGAGGCCCCTTATGCCTACGCCGCTTTTCCCCCTAGCAGAAGAAAAGTCTCTTAGCACTTAATAAATTTATTTCTAGTACTGAAATCAATGTTAAACCGAATGTTAATTTGGCATAAATTTTAGTAACTGGTAAATTCTAAATATAAATGGAAACTATTTTCTAACCTAGTTAGACTGGGAAATTATGGCGTTAACCTAGTAGCTATCCAATGAACAGAACATTATTTGTTACCTCGATTTTCTCTTCTAAGTAACAGGTGACCAATTAGTTCAATCGGTAACTGGTATCTCAAGTGACCCTTTTTTCCTTCCACAGAGGAACTGTCGACAGAGAACGAGGCGACGAAAGAGAAAATGAAACGTCTGCGTCTATTGATGGGACAACGACGCGCTAAAATCACAGCCAGACGACAGGCAAGAGCAGCGCCGTATACTACCCAATGGGCAGCAGTGACGCCCGATCCGGATCCAAATCACGATCCAAATACGTCGGGTACCACGGCCGCGAACGCGACGGAACCGCAAAATGAGCCGGAACTGCAACTCGCCAGAATGCTGTCGTACATGCAATGAGTTTCTCGCTATCGCACTGATTTATTCAACCAACGGACAGACTCGATCGCTTTCGCGCCTGTTCACCACGAACACTGTTTTATGTAACATCGAGCATCAAGTATAGAGAGAAAGAGAGAGAGAGAGAGAACTTCGGTATCTTGTTTATACACTTTGTTATAGTCGACTCGTCGTTTTATATATTTGGAGTATACACGACTGGAAGTGCAAGGTGTGTCGCAGCTGAATTTATCCGGTGATATATTGTACCCATAGAAACGCTGAATCTGAAGGAAATATATCCTGCGATAAAGTTAGATGAGATCCTGCACGCTGCGCGATACCGTGTCGCCGTTCACCTGAGACTGTTAAGACGGTGAAGTTCTAGCAATGCACGTAACATTTGACACGCATAATTTCTTGCAGTATTGCCTGATAACGATGGGCACGTACCTTCAGGCGTTCAAACGATGCGTTCGAACGTGTTTGGATACGTAGTTGTATAGTCCCCTCGGTAACGACACGTCGAAAATTAAGAAACTGATGGAATCTAGGAATATTAACGATGAAAATGTGCACGTCTAGGCACGATAATAGGAATTATTATAATATTAGAATGGCGGGGGAGGTGTCGCTCGAACAATTCGAAATACTATTTAGTGGATGCGAGGTTGTACAAGTTATCGACGAACTCCCCATTGAAGAGAACAGTGTTTGGCCATACTCAGGACTCGATCGTAGCTGACAATAATTGCACTCGATGAATGAATCAGTGTGGTGACTACAGCACGTACGTTTATTGTATACGTTCGTGAAGAAACGGCGTAACAGTGAACGAAGACAGAGAAATCCTGATGAGAGCAAAAGTTCTAGGTTAGAAGAATTATCTCTCGATAGATGTCTCAATGGTAGAGGAAGATTAAAATAAAAAAAAAAAGAATAATCAGATTTAGTGACACACGTGTAGGATTTTTGAAATTACAAACCACATTACGAACCGCGCAGGAAAGACTATTAAGAGAAAAAGAAAGCAATGTTATAAATGTTTACTCACGATTAACGATACCTTCCTGGATTCATTGCAGGAAGAACTGTTTCCTTATTCGAGTAAACGCGTTTGCTTTCATCCGCTGTTGTCTGGAATTGATTGATCCTTATCACATTATTGTACATACATACAATGAAGTGCACTTCGTGTTGTCATCGTTGGTTGTTGCGTGAAGGAGAAGAAACGAAATCCATCGTGATGACTAAGGAAATGGTGACATTAATTCTTTGTGCTTTTGCGTATCGATACAGTCTAAATGGTGAAACGGGATCGGTCGGTTCTCAGGTGTCAACAATCTCATATCAGTTTTGGTATATGTAAAAATTAGGAGCAGACTGGATTTTTCACTTGGAATAATTAAGCCCCGTGGAGCTAGGTTGTTCTATCCAAGGACCACCATGCATCGTCCTTCGACAAGGGAAAAAACAATAAAAGAACTCAAAGCACGTGAATAAATGGTCCTATAGTTAGAGTTAGGTAATCTCCTATCGCATGGCTTCAACGCTAAAAAATTCATTTAAGTTTACTAGGTACTAAATAATATAATATCATCTAATAGTATATTGCGTTAGGTTACTTAGGAGAAAAAAAATATTATTATTTTATTATTATCATTACTACCGCTACAGTTTTGCAAACTGGCTCAATATTGTAACATATGATTATTGAATTTTATCGAGTACCAAAATAAATAAGATTGCTTGCTAAGCTAAGAAACGGAAAACGACTTTTTTAGTCTTGTTTGAATGTGACGTCGTCTGTTTAGTGTCTGTTATCGTTGTTGCTGTTCATGGCTTTCTTTTTTCTTTTCTTTTTCAAAGAAGAAAGCTATTCTAATAAGAAACGTCATGTTTTAGTTGAACGCATTAATTTTTAAACATATGTCGTTTTAGTTTATAAGAAGAATCTTATTTTCTGGAGGTTAGAAGTATGAAGTTTTGGTTATTCACTTTGACATTGTTTATTTAAATTATGCCTTAAATTACGTGAAACTGTAGAAATCGATCGACGCTTAGGAATTACGCTATCATAGTTTATATATTAACAAATTGTTGTAGTTACACGCAACACGGATTTCGCGACAATACAATTATTATGAAAGAAATGATCATTGTCCTAAGTAATTGGTATTATCACAAATGTTACGTTTGCGTAGACGTAAAATTCGTAATTTGATTTCCTAAATACAATGGAAAAATTAATCCGTACAGTGAAATTTATATTGTGCAATTTACTTAAAAATCAAACGCATACATACATATCGATCTAAGGATACGTTTTGTTACTACCTACGTTTTCTGTGCTTTAACTACTATTTTCTACCGAAAATACCATGATGCCGAATTGGTCATTGCTCATTCTATCGATAACAGAATCATTAATCACTCCTTATTAACTTTACTATACGTTTTCTCGTGGCACATGCTTATATTGAAAGATTATCCTTAGCTGTACTCGCTTACATTTTTCTTTAATTATTCAATCACAAAAAGACTGTATAAATTACTCGGTAAATGTAATTTTCTTGTAAGTCTATTTACTTTTGGCTACGAACGATATTCTTTATTACGTACGTACGTACTGATTCTTTACATTACTGTATCGCTAATGTCATACTGATATTACATATAAAACAATAGAAATTGCCGCATATTCTACAATGAGTAACAATATACATTATATATCGCGTGGGAAGGTATGTACGATATGCACGAAATCTTCAGAATTAGCTGAGTTAACGGTATTCAACGCATTCAATTTTACCATAATCCATCCAACTTTTTTTTTTCAACTGTAGTGTATACATTCACATTAGTGATTTATGGTAACATTTCAGAATATCTGACATGTTGCGCGTCGAACGCCTACGGCATGAGAACGAAAATTCTTAAAAGATACTTGTATTCTCAACAGATGATAAAAAATGGACGGGTTTACAACAGGCGAAGTGTGTTGTTCGCAATAAAGGAAAATGCATTACTATGTATCATTAAAATGTAACCACGTATCTACCTGAATACTTGGTTTACAAACTTAAAAAAAAAAATGCTTGCTGTCTTGTATTCACGTAAATAACGACCATTCGTCCTGCGATCTATTGATGAAATTTCTTATGGCACGACGTTGGTGCAGTGAGAAGATTCTTTTTTAAATGTTTTTATATCTAAAAAAAACAGAGAAACCTGTATATTTTGGCAGTTGATATTCGGATATTTAATGTTTTTACACTTCTAATAATTCTCTTTTCTTTCAGACAGAGCGTACAGTCGCTCCGGCATTGATTGTCTAGTATAAATTAATTTTCTTTGTGATCACTTTTCGACACATGTGGCAAGTTTTCAACGGATTCGCGCAGTGTTCGCAGGCTCCATGGCCGCAGAGAAAGGCAACGTTACGACGACGCTCCATGCAGATGCTACACATATTCGCTTCCTCTAAATCGGCCACCCTGGTCTCCAAATAACGTAGTCGCTCCAGATCCTTGTCCTTCTCCCTTTCTTTCTCCAGATTCTCATCTTTCTTCTTATCTTCCAGCGCTCCATCTTTCACCTTGTTCTCCGATTTTGTCAAAGGAATTTCACCAGCCGCTAATTGACCGTCCACGCCTAAACAATATATCCAACACTATTATTACCCCATACTTCAATATGGATACCTTAAAAAGATATCCCACCATTACCTGGAATCCCTTGCGTCTTCGGAATTCCATGACCACAATGAGCACAGTTAATGATCGGAACACTACTACCGGGATTAAATCTATTTTCATCCTTCGTCGCTCTTATTACTATACCTAAACAACCGTGGCACTCCGTGGCGTCACCGGAACCGGACATACCCTTCCTAGGAGCTCGAGTCATCTCCGACTGCGACGTGGGATCTATCTGGTAGACGGAAGAAACGGAGACGGGAGCATTTTCTATCCTGCAAACGCAGAGTATGCATGAGAATACCTGCACAAGAGTTAACCTCAAAAAAAAAAAAAATAATAAATGCTCCACTTACTCTAACTGCGCGTTCTGGTTTTGGAACAGATAACAGCGCAGTAGATCAGTATAGGGTGCAAGCTGAGGATCCGCTTCGAGAAGCTCGAGAGGTGTCTTGTTCTTGGAGTTCTTTGCGTGTTCCAGGAGAGTGCCACTCCTGTCTATGCTCACTAGGTAACAAGCCAGTGCTAATTCTGTTTTGGTATTTTGTCTCGCTAAGTTCTGCCATATCTAGAACAAGAGGATCCATTGCGAACAGAGCGTGTTCAAGAGAGGACGAATGCATCACAGACAGACGAAACTCACAGAATATATAAGTGGCGAGTCCCGACAGCTCTCAGGGGTGGGGACCACGTTCGTTTGATTCGGGCTCTTCACTATAGCAATATGCAACACTACGTCGCCGTCGGCGTCCGTACTAGCGATGTCCGCGTTGTGATGCACCAGCAACTCCATCAAAGCCCAATGACCCTGCGAGGTGGCCAGATGCAACGGTGTCTGTCGACGATTGTTTCGTAAATCAACTTTCGCGTTGCCGCCGTTCTGGGAAAGAAGAATGGCTGCAACATCCCTGTGGCCGTTCAAAGCTGCGAGATGCAAAGCCGCGAAGCCATCTTCTTTCTTCACGTCCACCAGGTGCCTTGCTCGTGTTACCAATTTCTCAGTAGCACTGTCCACAAAAAGATACATGGTTCCAATAATATCAGGTCTTTTGGTACACCGATCGATCGGTACAGTAGGCATACGTACTGAGCATTGCCTTTCAACGCGGCATGATGCAGGACGTTGAAGCCTCGCTTATTCTTCAGGGTAAAGTCGACCCTGTCGCAGGTGCAAAGGGCGTCGATAATATCCAGGGCGTCTTTAGTGCATGTTTCTTGTTCACGGCGACATGCAGAGCACTGCACTTTCCATTGTTGACAGCGTTGATCGGTGCACCGCGTGACAAAAGCAATTCCATGATTTCTGGCTGATTGCTGCGATAGATGGATAATATTTTCAGCGGCTGAATTGAAGGTGTTAATATTGTTATTTGGATGGACAAGTGTTGTAACAAACCCAAATGCAGCATAGTGAAGTGGCGTATCTCCGTCTTCGTCCACTGCCCGCAGTGATGCACCGGCATCCAGAAGAAGAATACAGAGGTCGCGTTGTCCCTGATGAGCCGCGACTTGTAAACACGTTTTCTTTCCGCCACCAGGACCACCGGCTCTGGCATCCACTCTGCTAGGATATTTCTTGAGAAATTCTTGTACCGCAGACACACCAGCCTCTCCTCTAGCTGCGTCCCTCAACAGTTTCTCGACCTCTGTATCGACGCCCTCACCTGATGAAATTATGGAACATATGATAGCTATAGAAGAACAATACGCTTATACGATTAAAACAAAATTCAGACATACTCGACCAGTCTCTGCTTCTGTTTGCTTCATCTTGCATAGAAGTCTCAGTCCCAGGAGGAACGAGGGTAACGCTTAATGGATTGAATGTCCACGTATGACCATCTAACGCCACACGTAAATCTCCATCGGAATATATCTTGATTACTTTCCCCGTTTTTCCAAGAGCATTCTTCATAACGTCTATCCATTCCCCGTGGTCTCGTTGGTAAAGTTTCACGGCGGACAGATCTGTCTTCACCCTGACTATGTCGCCCAGGGAGAACGAGTCTTTGCTGGTAACCTTTGTGAGTGCTCCCGGATGGAATGTCCATCTGTTGTTGCAGCCTTCGAATTGCACACGGACGTCTCCTTTGTCTGTGATCCGGTGAACTCTGCCAACCTAAAAGCAATAATGACGATTAGATAATTGGACAGGTAAAAAGATTGTATGCTGTATACCTTCCCTATATAGTCGGCCATACGCGGATTCCAACCACCGTGGCCTTCCTGCATTTCCTTCAATGCTTCTACGTCGACCAATACTTTTATTTTATCCCCAACATTGAACGTTGAGTGACACGGACTAGACATAGTGCAAGGAATACCACTCCTGGTTGGCGTTAAGTTACTTCCATTATCAGATAAGGTCATTATCGGTTGACCAAGGAGAGGAAGATGCTCATTATAGTATGTACCGGCTGTGGCTTCCTCTACGTAACACAAATCTACGCAACCCTTATACCCAAGTCTGTATACATTTGTGCTGCCCTTGGACCAAGTCACAGTTGCAACGGAACGGCTGCTTTCGTTGTCCCAACCACGTATATCCATAACTCTACCGGTTCTCCCTGAAAATTGGTACATTCCATTATCTCTGTCGAGTTAACGAATCTTATACTTTGCAAAGCTTATAGTACCTCGACCTCCATCTTGATTTCCCCATTCCCAGTCTGGACCACGAACAACTTTTGCCCCTATAAATATCCCCTTTAAAGGTATTTTAGTACAACCTTCTCTTGGAGTCAATTGGACCCTATAGAATTCATTATTAATTACTTGTATTAGGTACCTATACACAGTTAAGGTAACATAGGACTTACCCAATAGAGTTGGCTGATTGAAATCTTTGGAAAGTATGACTCAGGTCATGCACATCAGCCATGTAACACTGAGTACACAAGTCGTAATCAGGGCATTGGGCACACTTCCATCTGATACCAATTATCCCATGTCTTTTACATCCATCACAGATAATGTTTGCATGTTTTACACCAGTGGCTGCATTATCGAAAACCAGCAAATCATAAGCACCCTGATATCCGATTCTATAATTACTTCTGGAGCCATGGTCCCACTGGACAATCACTGTTTTATCCGGTGTTCTATCCGAGGGATTTGGACTGGAAGCTGAATTTCCAAACGATGGAGGCTTGCCAATTTCTACCACAGTACCTGCATGGCCCTGTCCACCGTCTTGGTCATCCCACTTCCAATCCTGTCCACGAACAACCCTCAGGCCAACTTCTAACATCTCAGTATGTGCTTGGCTCTGTGTGTGACCCTTTAAAAATTAAAAACGATAAGAATGTTTATCTCAAATACAGGGGATGTATTGTTGGTAGTGTTAGTAGCATAGGCTAGTGATGTACAGATAAATAGCGGATAAATGCTTTGTGAAGTATAAGGAAGCTTAGATGCTTTTATTAGATATTTTATCTTGTTTTTCTGAACCGAAAAAGACGTACCTGAAACGGCCGACTTTGACATGGGATACCTTATGAGTCATATGCGTTTCTGCGGTTGTCCACGTAGTTCAAAGAATATGTTTCCGCAATAACCCTTCGGCAACTGAAAAAAAATCAGGAATGAGAATACTCGTGGGCATGCCTGGTAATTGAACAACATCATTTGCGAGGATTACGTAGGTTCATCCCGATAGGATTCTGCGTCCGTGTCAACGTTCGTAACCTCATAACGAGTTCGTCGAAGGCGCCTCTCTCGAGCAATAGCCGAGCTAATAGAAAACTAGATGTAAATGAGCTTTTATTTTTTATCGAAATCTTTTAACAATACACACGCTAGCGGAATACATCAGACTTTCACGTTGAGTCTGTTAAACGAAACGCATTCTCTGTAAATTGTACACTGGTTCTCCGAAGTTTAATCGCAACGAACTTTAAGTGTTCCACAAGTAGGTCCACAAGCCCATCGGACCTCGACAAAGGAAAAAGCACTGTTAATCCTGACTCGATTCTTACAATTTACGTTTCACACATCTACAATACTTCCTACAAAATTCTACCTAAATATGAATGATTCAGACCTCATTATCCACGCGATTATCGAGAACATATAGTAAAAGATTCATGAGCAGGAGATACACAGGCTGTTTCTGTATATAAGTATCGTAAACAGATGTTACGAAATGTGTAATTGCCTTTATTAATAATTTTTAATAATATGAAAAAAGTATCAAAGGAAAAGCCGTTTTCCTCTCGGTTTTCAGGGTCATCTTAGGGCCATCTCGAGGTCATCTCGAGCATCTCAAATGGACGCCATATTTTGTGTTGCGATTGTATGAAAATACAAGAAAAAAAACAAAAAAATCTCACGTATACTGAAAGTTATCATAAAATATCCAGGCATTCGATATTTATATTAATATACTTGTAATCTGGTGTGAAATGATCGATCGATTGAGTAAACGAGTCGTTTCGGTGCAATTGCGTTGACAGTGCTACAACAGAAGAACGTGAACGCCTCGCAGAACTGATAATTAATCGATTGAGTAGTTTGTAATTACATTTTTATTTTTTTATACATTTCTCTGTTCTATTTTACACGGAATTTATGGGAACTCCCCGTATATCGATAACAATGGTAATCGTACAGGTGCAGTTCATGTATCGGGCATCTATTCAGGACTAAATAGACGCATCTTTCCTGCAGTTTGTTCTCCTCACATTTTTCTCATTCACACAGTTTTCATGAATGTTACATTCTATTGATTCGATAGCCGTCCTCTTGTTTTGTTTCATGGTATATACACACCAGCAAAATTCAGAGGACCCCATACGCTCGCAGTGGCTCGTAGGTTCTGCAATCAGTGTAACCATTGATTATCCCCGTCATTGATCGGAAAACACATTTTTCAGAACAGTGTGACATATAACGAACATTTCGAAAAACGAAAAATAATCGTGAAATTATCGTGGAACATTAGTCGAGAGTGGACAGTATTTCGAGGAAAGTTGCTCCGAAAAAAAAAGTGGTCATCAACCAACTTCTCGGGTTTGACCATCGATCGTAGTCGATCAGCGGGGTGGTAGTGGTGCGAACGGTCGGAACACTCAGCTTTGATATTCTGTTTACGAAGCGGCACACGCATTTTATTCTAGCTAACGGATCTAACGGACTCACCGGAATCGTCGAACTTATGTCGGTTGTATACGCACGGTTTCAGAACGTGTATATCGTATTCGCTCGCGGGTGACAGTTTCACGCCGGTATCCGTTTCAGCATAACCTCCAGTGAGCGTACAATTAAATTTCTGTCGCAGAGAGGATGGATCCTCTCGGCGGAGATGGTTGCGGCGACGGGGATGGCGATCGACGCGCAGCGGGACGTGGTCGCGGTCGTGGACCATGGACCTCTAGTCCTCAAGAGGTCCCTTCGCTAAGGAGACCCCATCATGCTACGTCTGAATCGCAACCAGCAGGTTGCTATGATTATTACATTTCTCATGTTCAACCAGGTGGTTCTCTTTTTAAATCTCCATTCCTGCCAGCAAAGAACAATCCACCAGCAGTATCATTTTTGTCGACTCCGTATTACAACTGCGGAGGATATAGCATTGTGTGTGGCAAGGTAAAAAGATTGACAGTAACGGATGACTTTGGTCCAGGATTGGTGGATATGGATTGCTTAATCTTAATTGTAACTTCGATTGATTTAATATATATATATTAATAATGAAAGAAAACATCGGAAGAACCAATGGAAATGAATATTGATTGGTATACAAAGTTATAGTTTCGTTTGTAATGCAAATGGTTTTACTCTATGGAAATCTATTATATTTCCCATTGAATGCGACTATTAGAGAAGTTCCTTGTCCCTAGAAGTCTAGTAGGAATCAAGGCTTTCTTATCAGTTAATTTAGATTAGGTTTTGGACTTTGAACTCTGTGCTCCTACAATCTATTATGGGAACTATAATGGAGTATGGTTATTTTTCGAGTAAAGTACTTTAATGATTGAATTACAGGTTCCGCAGAAATGAAAGATACGGAGCAAAGCAAGTCAGACAAATCAGATCAGTTTGATGACATTATACAGAATTCAACGTTGTCTGTACATGCAGCTGAGTTTGTTCCAAAATCGTATCCCATGAAGCAGCCATCGGTGAGCATGCTGCATTGATGTAGATACAGTTTGTTTTTTACTAGAATACTAAAATGTTTTTAATATTTCCTTGCTGTAGAGGCATCAACAGCAGCAACAACCGACAGCACAACATTTACAGAAACGTTCAATTCAAGATAGATTACAATTAGCACGGGAGATGCCGCTTCAGTCTCACATGACGCAACAGGTACAATATTCTATGCGTTACTATGATAACCATCTGCATTTTTAGTAAATAGAACAGATGCTGCAATGTGGTTATTTTCTGTAACAGCAACAAGTAGAGCAGACCTCGAACGATCAACATTACGGATATTTTAACGCTGGTTCAGGAGATTATAAGGCTGTGAATCAGGTGAATATTCGAGGAAATTTATTGAAATAAACGAGCACAGTTTCCGATCATGTTCTGATTGCAGGCGTCAAGTGGAGATGAATATAATGATTCAATCGAATTCGCAATTACAACGGACAATTTGATGAGTGTTATACACTCCTTGATATTGTATCCAGGACGATTCACATCGATCGTACCACCACTCATAAACGATCTTAGGTTTCATTTAAAATCCCCTAGAGATTTTCAAGAAATTATAAAGCTGATAATTCAGCAGGTAAGTGTTCTTTGGTTCGTTCCCCTTAGTCGAGAACGGAGCTTTCATGATAATGTTCGACATTTTTTGTTTTTTCAGTCTATAAACGAAGGGAATTTCCGGTACAGCGGAGCTCGATTGTGTGATTGTTTCGACAGCGCTGTAACACCCGCCGAACAGAAGTCGTTCCGAGAGATTTTATACACATTGTGAGTTGTCGAATATAAGTAGAATAACCGTGTTTATGTAAGATTTCTCCCTTATGAGTTTCAAGTGGGTAACAGGTGTAAGAGTGAAACGGAGAGTCGAGCTTCCAGTTGGAAGCAAAAGGATGAACATACGGAGGACGAACAGAAAAAATGTCATGGGTTAATATTATTCCTAGCTGAACTGGTTACTCAGATGGAGCACACATCAGCTTTCGGTTTGGGAGATTTATTAATTCAACTGATAATTACCGTCTTAAAGAAACCAGCTCCAAATTCCGTTAAGAATATTTGCCAAGCTCTTAAAGTATGTGATACCTGTACAGTATTATCAATATATTAATAGAATTACAAAATATTATAATAATACTGACATACAGCTGGCGGGTCAAACCTTGGAGAAGGACAAACGAAGTCGAAAGGAAATGGAGACCATGATGCGAGCGTTAACAGAGCTGGTAACTGCTGGTAGAGTGGATTCACACGTGGGACGTATGGTGCACAGTGTTCATCAGTTACGAAACGGCAATTGGGGACAGACTTCTACCGCAGATACCTCCGTCGAATCCACACAAACCGTGGACCCGAATCAAACTTTGGGAGAGCCTGTATTTTATGGGCCCGATGGCAAAGTATTGACCGCGGAAGAAAAGAAATTTTTGGCAGACGTCGCTGACTGCACAACGAATATTGATAACCATGTGTACGCGAATGGAATTATTATTTATTATTGCAATACCGTGGAATATAATAATAATAAAGATTCTTTTCTATTTGTAGAACGTTAGAGAGCTATTACGAAGACGAAATGAAATTGCCGTCAGACGACGACGAAATAGACGAGGCGTATGAGGAATTCTTAAAAATTATTCCGAAGCAGATGAAGTTCCAGGCCCAGGAATAATTAGAGATATGACAATGGCTACTCATAATCGTCACCATTATCGCGTTAATGCTCAAGACTTATAAAACCTCATAGTTGGAAGCTATGGGCACCTGCTAAAATTTTAATTCTCGATTTTCCATGATATGCACGAATTACAAGATAACTAAATCCGATGCGCGATGAGACAATTTCCGCCGCGAGTACATATGTTTATACGAGTGAATTAATTTCCAGTGAGACTTTTTATGTACCCTATTACACGGAGCAAAAGGATAGCGCCGCCACTCGTAGATATCCATTAAATGAATTATGGAGTAGCTGAACTATTTCTTTATCCACTATTTTTTATTTACGTAACGACTCTTCTCTTTTTTTCCATCGTATACTTTTATAAATCTGAATACCAGTATCTTGAGATTTGTTCCTAGGTCGAAACAATATCCGTTTGTCATACAGTACTAAATTTACTGCTAAGTTATTTAAATTAATATAATAAATCATGTGAAGGTATTAGGTAAATGCAGTCTATTATTATTATTATCATCATCATCATCATCATCATCATCATCATCGTATCTGTTTTCGAAATTTCAGTTTTATAAACGCAAAGCAACCCTGCCCGGTTTTCCCCGACGGTGTCACCTGATTGTTACAGTCTGATTACGTCCGCCTGGACTATTTTGTCGATGATCACGCCGTGCACTCAGGTATCATTGCGTCGACAGATCCATTTTTGGCGCGAAAGGGTCCGCTGGACGATTGTCTGGTCGACGGTGAATGTGGAGCTGTAAGCACGATTACTCACTGAGAAGATAGCTGTACTTCGTGTATATGCTGCAACGTTTTTGGTGTTCTCGTGCGTCATCGCCTGGCATAATCGCACATTCCAAGCAACAAAAGTTGATCCATAAAAAAAGAACGTACAATCTTGTATAATCTTGGAATGTATATAAAATGAAACGAATTTTAGCATTTTTATAGCTTTTCACACGTCCGGACGAACATTTAAGCGACAGGTCATACTAATTTCTATTGGCATGCAAGAATTTTTTCGTCTCGCCTGGTACCGACGAGAATAAATTATTGGTTGCAAATGTTTTTCCTGCTCGAGGATACATCGTTTCCTGGTATCCATTTTAAAATGGACAGTTTCATCGACAAGTGTACGCGTAGGCGCGAGGCCCGTCGAAGGATAGTCAGGGGCACGCGTAGGCAAAATTCGAAGTGGGATCGCGAAGGTTGCGGAAGGCGGGGCCCTCCCTTGTATTCCATCCATGATCATCTCCGCATTCGCTGAGGACGCGTTAATCTGTCTCGTCTCGTCGTGGAGTACGGACAAGCTTCGATTCAGGTAAGTCGATCTTAATAATTTTTTCCCTTTTCTTTTAAATTCCACTTACCAGTACTCTTTCCTCTAGAGCATCCAACAGCATGGGTCACTCGCAGACTGCAGTTCTGCTTGCTTTATCGTGCGTCGCGATAGCTAATGCTGGATACTACCAGTCAAGAATATTAACAACTGGAAGTGTCGGTAAGTGATCCAGCCATTTTACAAAGAATCATAGAAAGCAATTGAATTGTATTCGTTAAATATTTGCCAAGGTGGTTGTGAATCGTATACCTGCGGAGTCAATGCAAGATGCACCATCAGCGAAAGCAGACCAGTTTGTTCTTGCATGAACTTACACATGGGGGATCCGTTGTCGCGTTGCGTGAGAGTCGAATGTCAAAGTGAGTATCCTGGAAAATGTTCGAGCCTGTAAGAGAATCGTTCGTTAATATTCGTACCGAATTTCCAGTCAACGAGGACTGCAGCGACAGTAAAGTCTGCACAAATAACAGATGCGTGAATCCTTGCGACAGTCTGTGCGGCGTGAGCGCTGTCTGCGAGACCAGAAATCACATGCCAACGTGTTACTGTTCACCTGGACAGACTGGAGATCCTTTCACCTCTTGCCATGTAGCTGATCCTCGTACGTATAACTCTGTATACAGAGCGTCCCATAACTGGCGATACAAACATAATGGTGGCGATTCTACGTGAAAGAAATATCAGGAAGTTAGTCGAGATTGGCTTCATTTTTGAGATAATTGAGTTTAAATTTTTATTAAATGCATCTACACTGACGCGGTGTAGGCGTCAATACACATAGATTATGTTAAATTAGTTATAAAGGCAGATCGTGTTAGTCACCCGAAAGCAAGACACCGAGTCATTAATTAATCCTTTATAGAAGCCGCCTGCAAGCCCAATCCATGTGGATTAAATACAAAGTGTGAAGTGGTAAACGAGGTGACGGTGTGCAGCTGTTTGCCAGGATACATAGGATCACCGTTGAACGGTTGCCGCCACGAGTGTGAAAGCGACAACGAATGTCCTAATCACCTTGCTTGCGGAGCATCGTTCAGGTGCGAAAGTCCATGTAAATGTGGTACGAACGCTGAGTGTAAAGTGGTTAATCATCAGGCGATATGTAGCTGTCCGAAGGTAAACTATAGCAGAAGTATCTAAATCCAAAGAGCATGATCGAAACTGGAGGTAATAACTCTGGTGTCTATTACAGAATTGGTTGGGTAATCCACTGCTGTCGTGTCGTCCAGAGTGTACCTCTCATTCGGAGTGTCCAGGAAACAAACCAGCCTGCCTCTATCAGAAATGCATGAATCCGTGCGATGGAGTATGCGGCGTGAACGCAGATTGCAATCTAAGGGGCATCACCCCAGTCTGTAGCTGTCCAAAACACATGACCGGCAATCCTTTCGTTAGCTGCAGGCTCTTTGAAGCGAGTAAGTCACATTAACGCGGTAACTTCAATGCTGAAACTTTTCAGCGCTTAATCAGAGATTTATTGATACAATCAGGGGATCTATGCGAGCCGAATCCATGCGGAGTGAATGCAATTTGCACACCGGGACACGACAACACGGGAAAAGAAAGGCCAGTCTGCACATGCCCGACTGGTTACATTGGCAACGCGTTGGCCAGCTGCCAAAGGGGCGAATGTTTCACGGACAGTGAGTGTCCCGACAGTAAGGCTTGCATCGACTTCACTTGCCAGAATCCTTGTACTGGCAAAGAGTGCGGACCGACCGCGACTTGCACTCCAAGACGTCATATAGCTGTCTGCACCTGTCCAAATGGCACTCGAGGAGATGCACTCTATAACTGCAATCCTATTGAGAGCAGATCCTCCTACAACTACGGTCAATCATACAGATACCGTTACTACTAGTCATTAATTTGCTATCGATCAATGGAAACATGTATTTTGTGATGTATTTAACGGAATGCAACTGCTACGACTCTGTGTATGTTTCAAATGACTTCCATCGAGCGGTTTTATTCGCTGTCTAGGAATTGTACTCCTTCAGAATTACTTAATAAATGATATTTGAACGACAGTACGCGCTGCTGTTTCTTTCCTAGGATTATCAAGTGCTCCCATCGGATAAGACAGCTGTCACGATTCATTTGTACTGTACATTGCGTCAAGTTGCCTTTGCTTTTAGTGAATAGGAGGATCTATAAGGAGCATTTGTCAAGTAGTCATTAATAAACAGGTTGTAAAAAAAATATAGGAGGTACTTTATAATGTGACCCCAATAGCATATACTATGAGCCTACACCCTTTAATACTACTTTGGTATTACAGTGTATCGGTGTGTTATATAACATCTCAGGATATCAATATTACGTCAAGTGTAATATATTGATTACCATCCTGAATCGTGCAGCGAAAATAGAATAAAGTTTCCAAGAAGAACAATAAAAAAAAAACTACGTAAGACAAGATCCCTAGCCTTTAAAAAACTTCGAAAATTTCATGCCTAAAAGTAGCTACCCCTGGCAACTCTGTTTGGCGCGCATATATTGTGACGAAGAAAGAAATTGAAAGACATTGTTTGGAGTGGATGGGTGAGTTGTCAATTATAGAAAATTATAGTTAAACGAAAAAGTTTTAATAAACATTTCAGATATAAAAGAACAGACACAAGAACATGTTTGATGATATATTAAGCGAAACAGGAAATAACCTTTCTATTGTATCTGATAGCACAAAAGATAGTAGTAACAGCGATACAGAAAGTATAATATTAAAACTAACTCCCAAACTCATGGAAGAAGAAAGCGACGACGACAAAGAAAATCGCAGTACAGTGAAGGTTACTACGAAGAATGCGAACAACACGGGTTTGGCTACTGCTGAAAAGAGTCTGATAGACCCGACGAGGTTGTCCGGTTCGAAGAATCAACGAAACATCGAGAACTTCGTCAGTAAAGTCCGTACCGTGCCGACCAGTCAGGTTCTCGCCGACAAACAGAAAATGGATGAAATTCGGATGAAATTGGAGATGATAAAGAAGCAGGAAACGGACAGGATGCAGAAAAAGAAAGAGAACCGTAACGATCGCGAAACGAGGAAGACGAACACGTTCGGAGGCGTTGGAAAATCGGCGTCGCGAAAGCAAAGCTCCGCGATGAAAAAGGAGATGCATAAAGCTTTCTTGGTGAATGGGGTTAAGTACAAGGTGCCCCGACTTCCACGACCGAAGCATTGGGTGACGGATCGTCTTTACCGTTATCTGTGGAAACGTATGGAGCCGAAGTACCATTCGAAGACCCGGCTGATCTCCGAGAAGTTTGTTCGCCAGTTGTCGAATATAACGACCGTAATCATGAGAGGTAAAGCGTATTTGAATTACAAAATGGAGCTGCACGCGTTGATGAAAGAGATGGCGCGGCTAGGCATTATAAATACTCGACGCGATTTTTATCATTTTTGTCACGATTTCTTCCCGTACGAGCTTTGCTTTAAAATGGTACCGATACTGATGCCGGGCAATGAAAGAAATATTCCTTACGATTCGAAGAAGCTGGACGTACCTCTTCTTGGACGATAATATACTATTGTTACCGGGTTTTGAAAAGATAAATTTAGTTATGTGTAACGAGTATGTAATATACTGTGCCCAGATAGCACATGACGTCTTCAAGGCGTTATTAGGCGTCATATGCTATCTGGGAAGTATTTTCTGTGGAACACATCAATTTACTTGCTACTTTTAATTTTCACTTATGTTTTCCCAATGGACATAGCAGTATATAAATAAGTGTAATTATTAGTCATAACCAGGTTTTTTTTTGGTTTAATACACTTTATGACGAAGTTCTACAGAAAGTAGTAATAACTTTAAGTTCCTATCATAATTAGATGAGATACTGAAAGTATTTTCTGAAGAGAAAAAAAATACAGTTTTATTTAATTCCAGTCGTTTGGAATAGAATTCTACAGGTAATTAATTTCTAAATAAATGTGCAATCTTTGGGACATAGAATCTACAAGTTTTATTTGCAAAGTATGTACAATAATGGAAGTATGAACCATAATTCCATTTCAATTGTTGTAAGCTATAATGAATTGTTATCTAAATGTAGTATATTAATTTGTAAGCAACAATAACAACAATAAATACATATTTTTATATATATTTGTTTGTAGTTATTACTCAACGTTCAATTCTTACTGATAAATGTGAAGATTTCTATTTGTTATAACCAATAACAGTTTGCATTAAAAAACAGTTGTTAAAATGTTTAAAAATTCTCTTTTTTAATTTTCTTTTTGTTAAGTAGACAATGATAGATGTTGTTCTGTAAGTGTCCGACAGAGTTCGGGAGTGTAGTACAAAACCGAACACGGAGGAGACCAGACGTAGCAAATTGTGTGGACGCTGAGGGCTTGTCTACGCAGTTGTCGAGAAGAAATTTACCAAAACGGTCGATGTGTCACGAATGAGTCTGCCTCTGGCAGGGAAGGCTCGTATTTTGTGGGGAACAGCCCGCTGGGCGTTCTCGGCCTCCAAGTGCGGAGAGATGTCGATTCGGACAGCAGCTCAACGTCTCTTGCAAAATGGTCGGGCTCTATTGCATTCCATCCGTAATACCGAATGTTTCTACGTTAATTGCCACCCAAGGAACTACCACGGCAAGATACACGTTGTACAAGTAGGTGAGTTAACCGATCAGAGATTTATTCCTCGCGGGTACTCGCGATGTCAGGGGACCTTGACACGGTGAGCCACCAAAACAGATTGGAAGACCTTCGCCGTATATATACCGTATACGATACGTTTAACCTTGACAGTATGACAACTGCGTATTCCCGCAAAATTCGACACCGGAAACTAGTTAAAATTTTTTCACCTTTTTCTTTTTAAAGTCTGCCCTCCACTATCCTTTCCAACGTCCCCTTTGTTTACGCGTAATTTAGAGATCCCGTCGTCGATTCGATAGTGTCAAAAGTTCCTTGAACTATTTCAAGGAATTTCGGAATATTTATTAATCATTTCTACTGATATTTCGAACACAGGCAAGTCCCAGGGCTGCCTGCCCCAGGGTAACACCAATGTATCCGTCACAGGAAGACACCTTACTTATTTGGGAGTCCACGCTCGAAGACTCTTTGTCGATAATATCCTGAAAAGGGTCACCAACAGTCTAGCGGCAGATTTAAGAAGAAGGGCTGCAACGAAATTGGTCTTTGGAGATTCCGCTCCATTTTTTGCTTTGGTCGGGGTGTCCTTAGCATCTGGGACTGGAATATTGACAAAGGACGACGAGCTAGAGGGAGTCTGCTGGGAAATTAGAGTATGTTTTTATTCACATTTGTGAAAAGAAAAGAAAGCTTTCGAACATAAACTGGTCCATACTAAACAGTGTATACCTACATAGATAAAAAATTGTTTCAAGACTAAATATTAATTTAGGCACAAGTGGGTTAACAGAGTTATTGGAGTATTGGAATTTAAATTACAGGAAGCAGTATCAAAATTACAATGGAACACTCCTCAAAATGACAAAAATTACGAGGTGTTTAAAGACGAAGAAAAGGTTGTCACACTGTCGGATTTTGTAATTGGCCCCCCTATTGCGAAAGGATGCTCGGCCGTCGTCTATGCGACAAGATTCAAGAATTCCGAGAAAGACGACGATCAACTGAATATCGATAATAAAACCACGGACATTACTGCGTTTCCATTGGCTTTGAAAATGATGTTTAATTACGACGCCGAATCGAATGCACTCTCCATTCTGAGGGCCATGTACAGGGAAACCGTGCCAGCCAGGAAACATTTGAACAACGAAGAACTGGTTGAGTGGGAAATCAAGATGGCTGAAAGGAAAGCTGAACTTCCACCACATCCGAACATTGTAGCAGTGTATTATGCTTTCGCCGACAGAGTCCCGGCACTGCCTGATTCCTTGAGAATGTATCCTGACGCGCTACCCGCTCGTATTAATCCTCAAGGCTCCGGTAGAAACATGAGCTTGTTCCTGTTAATGAAAAGGTATGACACGGAGTGCATGGAGTAGCGTTATAATCAAATTACGCAATAAAAATTACTGTTCGTATCCTAGGTATGATATTACATTAAAACAGTATCTGACTGATTGTAACACGAGCACTAGGGAATCGATACTGTTATTTGTTCAGTTACTGGAAGGCGTTGCTCACATGAATGCTCATGGCATTGCTCACAGGTAAAGCAATATTTGTAAAACAGTGGGAAGTGTCAAGTATCGATTGGACTGTATTATATTCCGTCTGTATCTTTTTGTTTTTCAACAAACTCCAGAGATCTGAAAAGCGACAACATTCTGCTAGACCTGTCCGAAGAAACTGACAACTGTCCATCCTTAGTCATTACGGATTTCGGTTGCTGCCTAGCTGACAAAAGTCACGGTCTATATTTGCCTTACAACACTCACGACGTTGACAAAGGAGGTAATGCCGCGCTGATGGCACCGGAAGTCATTACAGCAGAACCTGGTCCGTTCACCAGCATCAATTATATGAAAGCCGATCTCTGGACTGTGGGTACAATTGCTTACGAAATATTCGGCATGAAGAATCCGTTCCACGGAGACAGCAAAGAGAAAACATCGCTAAAGAATTACAATTACAAGGAAGAGGATTTGCCGCCCTTACCAAGCAGCGTTCCACCGATTCTATCCGCGTTAATAAAAAATATATTGTCCAGAAGTTTGTACAAGGTACTGCCAGCTGTTTGTTGCTTAAAATGTTTCTGAATTCTGTACGATTGTGCCTGTAATTTCAGAGACTCGATACTGAAACTGCGGCGACTATAGTTCAGTTACACTTGTGGGCACCCAGCGATTGGTTCCGAAGGGAGGGAAAATTACCGTCTAGCAATGAGGTGTGCATACGAATTGAATACCCTGAGACACGTATGTTTAACAATTTCTAATATGTTACCGATTCTGTACAGGTGATGCAATGGCTTCTGTGCTTAACGACAAAAGTACTTTGCGAAGGTCGTAATTTGGCTTTACCGGTGGCGGATACCATTTTCGATGGAGAAATGGATGTTGTTCTCCGGAGAAATTCCTATCAGAGATCTCTTTCGACCAGATCCTGCGGAAGACGTACTATGCCAGAATATCAATTGATAGCAAGTTTTCTCGGTAGAGTCACACTTGGAAATATTAGAAATGCTCTAAAGTGGATACAGAAAAATGTATAATTTTCTAGTAAATGTTTATAAAAAAATATCCCTGAAAAAAGGGATAGTATTGAACGATACAACAAAAGTATTTATATCTTCTGCATATTGACAGAAGAGGCTGTTCTGTAGTTATTTTTTCGCAACGAAGCCGAGATTCTTATAATATTTTTCTATACCCGGTTTTATCGTGTTTATCGTTAACGTTCCCGAGTTGTTTTCATGTTAATTCGTTTTTTGATACTGTGAGAAACAGAAAGAAGTCATGTTTCCAATCGTATTACACTAACTGGTAAAGATGAACGTTTTATTTGAGTTGCATAGAAAAACATATGACTTCTTTTCCGATTCTCGTGCCTTGTAATTGGCAGATACAGGACAGTATGGCGAACCATATATTTATCTTGGCAATTTTATTTTATTCATTTTATTTGTCTCTAGAAGTGTTACGAATAATTTATTATTTTAATCGCACAGAAAACAATCTTTTCGATTTTTATAAAGATAGTTTGCTCTGTGTCGTCGCACGATACTCTAAGATTTCACCGTGCGATACAGAATGTATCGATACCTGGTGACTTTTGAGTGAATTTTGTTCGAATGTTTCAACCATAATTGTCAACACGTTGGGAATCTACCACGCGACAACTGTAAATATTACCGCCGACAGGGATAATATGCAAAAACACTGTACGAACGTTGTTCAATAATAAAGCTTGTAAATAACGCCCACGGAGCTTCGTGTTAGGTAGTCTTTCTGGGCATCCCAGACGTTTGCAATTTGTGCTTCATTTCTTCAAAGTCGAGGTTGTTGGTCTCCGCCAAGTCTTTCAAATAAGTCAAGTATTCTTCGTAGGTCAGGGCTCTTTTACGAAATTTGAAGAACGCGAGTCCTGTGTCGGTTGTCGTAAGGGTAACCATGTCGAGTATGCGTGCAGATATTAGCCATTTATCGCTTTGCGTTAACGGTAAAAGTTGCAAGTTATGCTTTGCGGAAAATGGATCCATCTCACAGTATGCTGTCATAATTATACATTCGGAATTGTTAACCCCAAACTGTCATAGAACTGCTAGTTATTTGTTTAATGTTATTCTGTTTACCTTGGAAGATATTTTCCAATGGAATAATCTCTGGTTCGTGTCTTTTTGTGACGTCAAGTATCGCCATTTTGAAAAAAAGAAATTCCTGATTGGAAAATGACTTGAAAGATATAAACATTTGAAGAGAAAGGTTTAGAAAATTGATTTCACCATGAACTTTGACAGACACGAGCGCTTTAATGACAGTCATTTAGCTTCTTGCAGTCGAAATTGCGAGGATATAGCTTTAATCAACGCTATTGAGAAACTGAAGCCACCTTACTTTCAACAGCACCTCAGTCAGCAGTTTTTTCAATGTTTCTGCAAGGAAACTTGCACCACAAAGTGGAGACTGGATATGCGTGGTTCCACTGTGCATGAAAAAATCGAGTTAGCAAGCGTATTTTAAACTGTTGCGTTTTTGAAGTCTGTATCTCTGAAATACTTACAGGAGACTACTTGAAAAATTTATGAATTTAATCGATTATTTAGTTGTAAGATACAAAAGGGAAAGTTTATTTGAATACATAATACATTTTATAAGTGTTTTTTCTTTTACATCAGGTGTACAACCATGTAGATGAATTGGACATTCACAACAATTACATCATGGAATCAGGGACTAAATATTTGCTGAAAATGGGGCAAGACCTAAAGATTAAGAGCCTGAATTTCAAAGCAAATAAATTTGGTATCAAGGTGATTGATTTTCGTCACTCCATTCAAAGAATTTATAAATTATACCCTTGATTAAATGTTTGCAGGCATCGATAAACCTGGCAAATTTCTTATTACAAAATGAACATGTGCTCTACCTGAATGTTGCAGACGTGGACCAAAGTATTTCCAGTTTACTATACTTTATAACGAATCTGAATCAAGCCCTAGAAGTCTGTAATGTAACACTGAAGTGTCTAGACATCAGTCGACCGAATCCAGGATGGATGTACAACTTTGATTCTGCACATTTTGCGAGCGTGATTGGTTTAATGCTTAAAGTAATGAGCTGCATACTCACATTCCTTTTCTTATTTACATATTTAATTAAGGATTTTTCTCTAGCACAATAGTACCCTGTTAGCGTTGCATCTGCAAAAGTATAATTTTAGTTGCCACGATATTGAGAACATGATGTCCAACGCGATACAAAATAATACTTTGCACTTGTTGGATCTTGGCTGCAATAATATAGGTGATCACGGTGTCGGTCAGCTGGCCAAGTGGTTAACAAAGAGACCCGCATTAAAAAGCCTGATTTTGTGTAGAAACATTATAACTGATTATGGCGCAAGGTACCATTTATTTTTCCAACAAAATACAAATACTACTACATAGTAAATGAACAAGCACAATTACTTTTAGGGAACTCTACTGTGTCATTCCATTTTCGAAGCTACTGTCGCTCGATATCTCTTACAATAAGATCACAGACGAAGGCATGGTGGAAATTTTATATTCTTTGAAGAAAAGTCCTCTTCTACGACAACTGAGAATATTCGGGAACTCTATTGGTCATTCAGCTGCAAAAGTATTTACATGAGAATAAAAGAAACATAGTGGATTCGTATGTATCTAATCACTTGTAGATTGTTAGACGAATGCTGATCTCTCAAGTGTTGAACCAGGAGAACATAGACGTTAGGCCGTATAAAGTTGATGACAGATGGTACTTTGCGAGATACGAAGGTGATCGTTGCAAGAAAGAATATAATGATGTTCCTTATGGCCTTTTCTGGGAAGTCCCAGCTGCACTTGAGAAGACACCTCATTCGAAACGAACGTTTTACAAATACGTATACGACATGACAAAGGAACTTCGAGTGCAACACGTATGGTATTTAGTAGAATTTTTATAATTATTAACTCATCAGGAAGTTTCTTTTCAGTCTAGCGTTACTGTTATTTCAAATATATTGAGGAGGGACCATCTGCAGGACTGTAAATGTTGTTACTGTTTCAGATGCGCTGGTAATATGTCAAGCTTCTTTTTTAATCGACTCTACTCTTTACCTGATTTGATGTTGTACCTTTCAGCACCACATTTTGATGAGCAGTGCAGAGACCCGAACCATCCAGACACTTGTAATTGTTGCAAGTGCATGGGAGATGAAAGCAGTGATTGGTCTGCGGATAAAGGAATTACAGACAGAGTTAAATCTCCTCCGGATCCTCTAACAAAGATCCAATACATATTGAAGCGTATGAGTTTTGAGATTGGTAAAAATATCATGCGATGGATTAACATCGACGAGGACGTATTGGAGGAAGATCTGAAAGTGATCACCGGTTAGAACCTTTAGAATTTATACTAGACTTTTGGAACAAAGTTCACGAATAACCGTTCACTGATTTATTCGAATTGAAGGCAAGGTCGATGAAGACTCATCCAAAGATTCGTGCAATTGCTCGTGGGCTCAACTGAGTATGTCAAGTCTACGGAAATATTTGGAGGAGACTTCGTCCAAGAATGTACTCATTATACCTAAAACTAGTCCTTTGTTAAAAAGTCTCGATAATCAAGCATCGTCGTCGGATGATTGTACAAGTACTCCATAAGAATATACGATGTACAAGGTAAAAAGTAAAGTTATATGTTTCTTTTTAAAGATGTTACTTTATTGATAATCATGTACAAGTCAAATGTTTCCAATTCGTGTGAAACATTTTTCAGCAAAAGTGAATTTAACAAAATATAAAAACAGAAAACATTAATTCACATTGCATTCTACACGAGTACTACGTTTCAACTAGCAATTGATTCTATTTCTGTTTAGAGACAGTTTGTGTTTCTTGCTGTTTATCTTCTTCCGTTTTTTTCGCCGATGATCGACTCGATTTGGCTTCCCTTGGTATCTTGGTGGATTGCGCAGGATCATTCGCTCCGGAGGCTATTGGACTGTTCGAAGCATTCTCATGGTGTCTGAGAGAACCAGGCTCCATCATTAGGTTCGCTGCCCTTGCTAATTGAGGAAAAGCATTGACAGTGACTGTGTTGGGTCCGTACGCCCCATTAACCAAGGCTGCTCCAGTAGCGGAAGGTGTGGAAGGTGTGGGAGGTTTGGAAGGGTATGAATAGTTTGGTGAAACATCTGGTCCTTGGATGTATGTGCTTTCGTAGATGTTCTGAACACCATGATGCGGATAATGAATATGTGGAAAGTGTGGAAGATGTATAGTGGTATGGTGCCTATTTCTTCCTTGAGGTCCTAGTTTTTCCACTTGACCCTGCGAAGAAGAATACGTCATGAGCGACCCACGTCAAAGTTACAGAACACAAGGCCATAATTGTAAAGTTTTTTTTACTTACATTCGTTAGAATCTGAGGCAGCATCTTGGAATCATATGGCATCACCAATGGATACGGAGAACTTGCGAACGATGATGAGTATGGCGCAAGGGGTAACACTTTCATGGTCATGGGCTCTACATTGGAGTCACTCATCACAGCCACATTTTTCTGACAAGTGCATGGACTCAGAATACCGTGCAGTGGGTTGCTACAGGGAGATACTGATGGTACTTGAACAATGGTGGCGAGTTGTGCTTGTTCAACCTCAGGAACCATTACCATAGAGCTGGATGGAATGGTAATAAAGTTTTTGTGGAATGCAGGAGCAACTGGCAGGACAGCGAAAGATTCTTGCGGCTCTGGTAGGGGTTGTGGAAGTTGTTCGATACATGCAGGTTTAGGTGGTTCAGGGGTGGTCTCTATTTCTACTGTGGAAGCAGGAGTTGGTTTAGGTTTTGGTTTTGACGTGTGAATAACATTCGATTGGGGCACAGATTGAACAACGTTTATGGACGGAGTTGATTGGACACAAGGCTGTGGAGGTTGTACTATTTGTACGGTTTGAAAAGGTTGGGGTATGTATTGAGGCACCACTATGTTTGGTTGAGGGATTGTTTGCATGAATGGCTGAACAACGCTTACAGCTTGGATCGGTTGGGAAATAGTATCAGTTTGAATAGTCAGAGGGGTATTCTGAGCAGCAACTTGGTTATCCTTGCAAGAGACTTGCGTTGGCTGGGAACTACCTGGTTGTATCTCAACGCAGAAAGTAGCAGCAGACTTCTTGGTCCTGTCCTTGTCTTCGCCTGTTTCGTCGATCTTGAGATCTTCTTTCTTGGACTCGAACTTCGTGTCTTCGGCCAGCGACTTTTTCTCCGTTGCCTTGGACGCTGGGGCAGCGTGAGCCAAGGCAGCGCACAGCAGAAAAATTGAAAAACACACGCCGACACGCATCGTTGACACTATGTGTAAACTCGACGACTTTCAAAATTGGATTGATGATCGATTGACGGACTTTCGTTTTTATACGGATTTACCGGCACATGAATTCTTACCAGAACCTGGAGGAGTTTCGCAATTCGATGCGTGAACAGCCGACATCGCTGACTGTGCTGATTGTGCATTTCACAATTATGTATGTTCTCTTAACGACGTTTTTTTGATGTAGATTCGTAATTGTAGTTAATTATTATTGGATTCGAATATTTACTGAAAGCGCAATTAGATGAATTAAGAAGAATCATTGTCCTTTTGTATAGTGTGTTGAGTGCAAGATACGGTTTCTCATTATTATGTTTATATGGGGCAATGTAAGGTCAATAAAAATGATTATTATTACTTAATATGTTGGCGAAACTATCCTAAACTATTCTAAACTATCCTATGTATTTTATAATTCGTTTAATTTTGTTTACCATTGTAAAAAGTATTTTTATTTAAATATTATTAATTTTAAATGTTAATATAGAATGAGCGTGAAGGTTTTCACATTAGAATATCAACTGGAATACTTTGTGAATGATGAAAAATAAAAAACTGTAGTTCAAAGATTGGGATATGATTTCATACATTATTATCATTGTTCAAATCAATAAGAATTTATTGTAGACAGATATAATTAGTGCATTAATAATTGAAGCAAATGTTATTTCTTAACTACATAATATTGCGTTAAAAGATGAGGGAATTTTATAGTAAATTTTATTCATCGATGCAGCGTGCACAAGCGGCCGCATTTTTTGTTTCGCTGAATAATTGCATTTTCAAACTTCGTTGCGGCAGTTGACGGTAAGTTGCAAAATACTGGATCAACAAGCGTGAGAGCATTGGTGTTTTACCTTGCTTAATCGACACATATTTTCTGCGTCGCAGGTATCGGTAACATTTTAAAAGTATCAACGGGGAATTAATCGATTTTTTCATACTTCAAATGAAACTAATGAAAATCTATGATAGACGAACGTTAAACCATCAAGCAGAGTGGCGCAGTGGAAGCGTGCTGGGCCCATAACCCAGAGGTCCGTGGATCGAAACCACGCTCTGCTAAAAAAAGGGATGTTGTTGAGGTTAAAATCTTAATCTTTCTCCTGATGATTTTTTTATGCTCTTTTTATTCTGAATTTTATTACATAATATTATGAATTAATTATTACCTTTATTTATTACAATTTAAATAAAAAAAAACGTACAGCTGTCTGCAAATCATGATAAAAAGGAAAAAAGAAATTCGCCCAACGTGGGGCTCGAACCCACGACCCTGAGATTAAGAGTCTCATGCTCTACCGACTGAGCTAGCCGGGCATTGAAAGTACCCTCAAAATATGAAAAATAAATAGTTCATTTAATATAATTATTTGTCACATGTTTTGGGGGCTTTAAAGTCCCCTTAGAATTGTAGTGTCAATACTGCAATATCTACTTGACGTTACTGATGAAGAATACAAAAAAATCGAGATTCAATCTCAAACACTGCGATTCACTGCGATTCCGTAAGTCGGAAAGAAATAAAGCCACATTTACATATTTCATCTTATTTATTCAGTTTATTAATCACAATTATTCACGAGTAACTCGAAAGTAATGCTTGTTCTATTACACAGCTGAAGGATAGTTATTAAAATAACGGAACACATTGAATTTTGAAGGTTATTCAATAAACATCACCGCATTGAAATTAAAAATTGATTTATGTAACCAATTATTCTCGATGAAATAAATCGGTTACACATATATGTACATGGCACGTTGTAAAGAATAAATAAGAAATTTAATAATCGCTTTTCGAAAGAAATTTTAGTCTCTCGCTGGTCCCTGCAGACTCGGCAATTATATTTGCGACGTGTGCGTTAGTTTAAGCCCCGTATTGCACGTTACATATACATCACACTCGTTAAACGTAAGTATCTTTCGATTATGAAAAATGTTAATGTCCGTGCGAAACGTTCCTTTTTGCATTGTTTACTGAACACATATTTTATTGTACTATAGTTAAGTAACGACTGTACGCCACGTGATCAATAGAACCGTGTTGCGAATAATGGTAAAACGAACAAGAGTATAAAGAAACCGTGATACGTATTCGTAGCTGCTGAACAATCGGATGGGCAATCGAACGAGCCATCGGTTTTGTTCTGCAGCAGAAGATTTCTCACCAGCTTCTTACCCTCGCAGGAATTCTCTATTCTAACGAATCGTATCTTTCGAGCCTCTAGAAATTGTTCCAATTCGACTCTGCACCGCCATTTCAACGGATTCCCGGAGAATTCGACCACGTACACATCAGGCATCTCGTTCAGATCACTGGTGAATATACACTTCAAGTCGTTTCCCTCCAGATTCAAGTAAGTCAGTCGATTCAAACGGCGGAACGCTCCTGGTGCGATGTATTTGATCGAATTGCCACGGAGATCCAACTTTTCAAGATTTTCCAACGGGAACCAAGACGATCCGATCATTTCCAGAGGATTGTCCTGAATCGTCAAGTTCTCCAGTTTATTTAAACCATCAAACGCGCCTTGTTCCACGGTGGTCAGGCCGGAGTTCGTTATCACGAGTTCCCGAAGGTTTTGAAATTTCGAAAAACATCCCGCCGGTAAACGCGGCAGGTGGCCCTCGTGGAATTCGATCGCGGCGACCTCTGGCGGTAAGGACTGCAACAGCAACAAGTTACCACCGACACATCGGTAACGGATTCCTACATTATCATCGTTGGGTATACAGGTTCCTTCAATAGTCTCGTTCCAGGTTGGAGCGTTTGGTGTCGTTGCAGGAGCTACGGTGGTTATGGCGGGAACCGCTGTTGCGTAACAGTCCTCCCTCAGGAGCAACGAATGTTTGTCGTAACGAATTCCACGAGTATTCAAGAAATCCGCCAGTTTGGTCCCACACAAGCAGCTCCAAGGATTGTTGGCGACGTTCAACGTGGACAGATATCGCAATCGTTTCGCCATATATTCGACGCCGATGCAGTTCATGGAATTTTCAGATACGTCGAGGCTGGTTAGGTACGGTATATCGTCGAACGCGTCGTTCGTAATTCTGTAAATATTGTTGTGGGACAGATCGAGATGCCTCAGGTTCGAAAGGCCTTCGAGCATTTCTGCGTCGACGGCGTCGAGCTGGTTGTTTCTCAAAGACAAATATTCCAGGTTATAAAGTTTTGAGAATGCTCGAGGTTCAATCTTCTCGACGCCGCAGTCACGGAACTCGAGCCGTGACAGGTAGCCGTCGAAACGAGTAAATGCGTCGTGGGGAATTGTCTTAATTTTCGAGAGTATTACGCGAATCGTGTGCACCGTTTGGGGTATCACCAACAGATCTTCCGTCGATGTAATGGCTCGACAGGTATAGATCGATCTGGATCGTTCGTCGTTTTTTTCGGGGTAGCATCGACCCGTGTAAATCGGTGCTGATTGGGATGGTGTAACGACGTGAATTTCCACTGGCGGTGACGAAGGTCGGGGCCTGACAATCGTGAGGTTCGATTGTTTGATACTGTCTTCGAAGGAAGTGTAATGAACCCTCCCAGTAGTGATCGAAGTGTCAACGGTGGACTGTGAACATAAAGGAATTAATGGTAAAATTTAGAATTTCAAAAAGGCAATTGTCGCTACCAGAACTGTAGAAACTGCAGTACCTGTTGCTGGCGCCATCCACCCACGACATCTGGAATCTCGTTCTCGTTCTCGTAACATCGGCCAGCATTAATTTCAAATCCAACGTTTTTTTGCGTGAGGAAACTTTGAAGATTCCTACGACAGTTGCAGAGCCATGGATTGCCGGTCGCGTCCAATCGTTCCAATTTCTTCAATTCGGCCAATTCCTCGATGGTTACGCAGCGCAGTCGGTTGTCACGAAGATCGAGATGCCTCAAACTGTCGCCCAGATGCCACAGAGAGGTACGTTCGATTTGCTCGATATCGTTCCGTTGAAGTATCAATTGTTGCAGGTTAAGGAGATCACGGAACCAGTCAGCGCCCACCGCAGTGAAGTGGTTACCGACCAGAGATAGGCGTTGCAGCCTGTGCAAGCCGGCGAAAGCACCGGTCTCGATCGTTTGGATGCGACAATCGTTCAGATCCAAGCTTCTCAAGCTGTTCCCGAATCGGAAGAACCCGTACCGCGGAAGTTTCTCCATCGTCAGACCGGAGATTTCGATCCAGGTGGTCTTATCCGGAAGCCTGTCTAACGAGGTGAAAACATTCGTTTGGAATTGGCTACCCCGGATCGTTGTACGTTCCTGCAACCATAGTTGCCACCGTTAGGGGTACACACATTTCAAGAAGAAGGTACCCTTTAACTTACCCTGTTGTAATTGGTCAACTGTTGAGTGGTAAAGGTAGACGGTAGTATAGGAAAGCCTATATGGGTCATGCATTGGTATCGTCTGCACAGGTGAATCTCCCTGGAGCATTCTACTTCCTGGTTGATAGATCTATCTCGGAGATACCTGTCCAGCCTCTGTCGACACTCGCAGAGCCAGGGGTTACCGTCGATGCGTACGCTTCTCAGGGCTCGCAGATAGGCGAGTTCCTCGGTTGGTAAGCAATCCAAATCGTTGTCACGCAGGCCCAATACCTCGAGCCGCGGTAACACCCGGAACACATCCGGTTCAATGTGCACCAAGCCACATCTAGAAGTATCAATCGTACGTCTGACATGTGCAAAGTATAATTTCTAGCTTGTTAGTTAAATACTGAAGAAGTTCCACATAGACTGGATTCGATTATCATTTTTACGTAATCCGTTAATTTTTCCATGGAATCAACGATGCCGCCGGTGTTTCGCAAAAAAGGAAACGCAACGTTTCCGCGTCTGCGATGTAAATACCGACCCACGTGCTTTATTCTTGGAAATCATCAAGATCTCAGGCAATTATTCTCGTTATTGGCGATTAGGGACGACGACAACGGATGGCGGCGAACTAGAGACTGGTCTCCAATGATGTTCTATCGTTAGTATTTCTGTGGCGATACACACACCTGTCCAGAATCAGCTTCCTCAAGTTGTCCAGAGGACGGAACCACGCGGTCCTGGCCACATGGATCCCGGTACCATGAAATATCATCCACTCAAGACGGTTCAGACCGGCGAACGCGTCGGGCGCGATGAAGTTCACGTGGCAATTGTAAAAGGACAGTCTTCGGAGGTTCCTGAACCGACCGAAAGCGTTGTCTGGTATGTGAAGGAACCGCGACACCGAGAACTCTATCCATTCCGCCTCGCTGGAGATCTCGTCGAGGTCGTTCAGGTCGCCGTGTGTACAGGCGTAGGCGATCGACCGTTCGTCATCCGCAATCGGTGCTATGCTGCATTTGCAGTCCACTCGGCCAATTAGGGCGACCAACGCCCATAGTAAAATCTGATGCATCGCCTTTTTCCGATTCTAGGCTTGCCGTGTTATTACCTGGAGGCATGCAATCAACGGGGGCTCAGCTGGGCTCTTTAAAAAGAACATTGAAATTCTTTCTGAAACTCTTAGAGGCTTGGATACGTGTCTGGGCACGCGAAGATTTCAACATCTAACCATTTGAGAAATATAAACATAGAAGACATGGGCCTGACAAGTTTAATACTCATAAAAAGAATGAAGGTACAGAATCCTGTCGATTATCGTCCCGAATCGGGACAATAATCTTATAGGGAGAAATGCTTAAGGCAAAAGGCAATAAAGTATGCGCTTGACAGGTTCACCCCTCCCCCCAGTGGTGGGAATAACGCCTGGACAATAATCGAGAGAAGTCTGTACTAGGTACTTCCTACGAGTTACGTAAATAAACGTATTAGTCACCTGTGTGCTTTTCAAATAGCCAAGTTAGTATCTCTAGGTCGGTTCTATTTTACACGGAACAGTTTTGAAAACAAATGGTAAATGTTTTTTTTCTTTTTCACGAATTACAGTAATCATCGATCGCGAAGGCGAAACAGCAACATTGGAAGCATGATGGTTTTTTTTTACCTCGCGGTGCACCGGAAACGCCGCTTGGAATCACACTCACCATGGTCACGTTCAAACGAAACGGCTGAATGCTCTCGTTACCACGATCCTTTTTATAAAACGCCTATCACTTTCGATGCTGAAGGGTCCACTTCAGGTTCACGGTTACTCGTAGACAAGAAGCGCCTAAGTGTGTTCACAGAACACCTGGTGCCATCCTCGGGATCGTTTTCACAGAACTACAAGAAGGAATTGTCGGAACTACCGCCAGAAGGAGAGGACGACTACTTTGCACCGGTACCCATGGACATCAAGCAAGAAGTATGCAACATTAAAGTCATCGGTGGAAAGAGACACCAGGAAGCGTCGTCGGTTTCAGCAGGCTCGCATCGCCCGAGTTTCGCATCGGTGGATCGAAACGAAACGTCGCGACTGAGCTCGCGATTCGTGCGCTTCCTCGTTATATAAACTTCTAAGGCCAAGGTCGCCCTTGTCCCCCGCGTGCTCTAGTACGTATGCACACACACTCAAGCATATATGTGCACACCGATACCTACGACCTATTTTTAGCATGCACCGCTCTAGTTTGGCAGGGAAACTAGCAGGCGAATTAAAACACGATGCACTTCAACCAGTCAGCCGACACCTGAAGCTAGGCAGCCGCTAGGAAATAGTCGTGACAGAAAGGTCTGGGACAGTTGACGGAAAACTCCCCCGTTGCTCCCTGATCTCTTCGAGCATGAATGAAGAGGGATCATCCCTGTTTCAACGAGACCTTGAGTTTCTGCAGCGTTACATGTACAGTGAGAGTCGAAAATAAATATACACAGGATATTTAATATTTCAAAATCCGATTCAGCTGCAAGTGTGCTCTTGAGCCAAAATATACAAGTAAATTTGCTGGAAAACACTTTCGAATATTTGAGTCTTCCAAAGTCACCAGATCTCAATGTAACAGAAATATTAGATTTTAAATTGATAGAAATAAATATAAATGAATCTAATACTTCCAAAGTGTATACTCACTTTTGACTTTAACTGTATGTATGCTTGTGTGGCATGCATGGACAACGTAACGCTTCCGTGACGATCCACAATAGAGATCAGGAAGGAAATGTACCAGATTGTGGTCGCCTTCGTCGCGGAGTAACCGTGAATCAGGCTTGGGTATTTGGGGGTTAGATGATTTTATGATATTTCTTGCTCTATGAGACGAACGCATTATTATTAGAGCAAGTATTTCAGCACGGCTGGTTTCGACACGACTATGGTGTTAATGCTCGGTCCAATTTTACAGGATAATTCGGTCGATGCGTTACCGGTCGCGTATCTTATCTGGTCCGATGCTGAATACCATATGTTAAGTGGATCGCACAGTAGCAGAATAGGGTCGAGATAATCCGATAGTGTTCCCGAAAACGAAGTAAGTGTACTCAGGGTGGATAGAAAATTCACCAGGATTTATTAATTATTAAAAGGCTTTTGCGTCCAATCAAAACATATCATGTAAGTATTAGAACATCTTATTGACTTCAGACTAAAACAGAAAAATCATTGAATCCGATGAAAGTTTCGTCTTTTATTGTATTTCACATTTCGTCTTTTATTGCAGTTTACATTTTTATTATCTTTAGTAAACATTCCTTCTTGTAGTTTATTTATTTAGTTACATTTTATTACATTTATTTCATATTCGATAAGCATCCCAATACTTATGAAACAAGATCCTGTCTGACACGTGAACAGAAATGTAATTAGTTAATTAAATTTTACAGATTATGCATGTATATCGTCCAGATGTGTCGTCGCAGATCGCTCCTCTACGTCCCGTTCATCCATTTTGCCCATCCAAGTCGAAGACGACGCGCATCGTCATTCCCCGGCAGTCTCGCGCCGGCTGTCGTTCGGAGCGCGTGCAGTTCCGCATTCACGGTTCGCCTCTGCCCGCGTCGCGCGTTCCCTCCGCTGGTGATAGAACAGTTGAAAACACAGCGTTCGCTTTTATCATGCCCCATTGCCCACGGATATCATTCTGCCACTCGTTTCAGACACTCTGTAAGTACATACTGTACCCTTGCGAGCTAACTCTGTTTCCGCTAGGGGAAAAAGTGGAGTAAAAGTAAGGGCCTCCTACCACTTTGTAAATTTAATTCAAGTACTGAAATAAATGTTAATTTGGCATCAATTTCAAAAACCTTCGAAACCAAGTGGTAGGAGGCCCTTTCCCTGTGCTACTATTTTCCCTAGCGGAAGCCGAGTTTCCACGTAAGTGTACAATTCCCATAGTTTCCCCGTAACATTTAACTCGTGCAATTATACCTTGGTGCCTCTGCAAAGTCCGAGCTACCATGTACTCACGCTGTACCGTTAATTTGTACAAGCATTCTACGATACTCCCTTCGAATTCTATTCTCTATTTGTAATTGCAGAAATAACGTTAAGAATATTGGGTTGTATAAAAGAAATGCGTCTCATCTGTGATGTTAATTGAACATAATGTACTCAGGATAAGGACTGACATATGGTGTTCGTTTTCGCAGAAGCGGAGGAAAGGACCAAAAGGTGCTGGAAAAATGGATTCTCACGGTGGAAAACCGAGGTCCACCGATAGTGATCCATGGCTGGATCTACGTGGGACGTCACGAGCCATAATCATGCCAGGTGGGCAGAGTCGGACAGGTATTTGGAGCGCGACACCGTGTGCGTGTGCTCTCTATGCGTCGAACGCTGGACATTATACGACGCGTAGTCGGCTTCCATCGCGTCGAGGATTCGCTCGTTATCTAACACACGAACGGCAAAATGAAATTAGCGACGATTAGGTCAGAAGGTCACCCAGTTCGCGCAGAGCGCAAGGTCAACGAAGAACGAGAGGCGAATCGAGCCTTCCACCTGGTTCCCTGGTAAAGAAAAAGAAAGAATCCCGTCAGAATTTTTTTTTTCCCAAAAGGATCTAGTTTTTTCCTTAACGGATGGAATGTTGGAAGGCTGTTCTGTAGGATGATTCTGTAGAATGTAGAATCGACTTCCAACTGCACGAGAATGATGTATTTTCTAGGGAATAAGGCCTACTAGCATTCTGTTAACCGCTCCCACAGAGAAACGCGAATTTTCTTGGTGTTCCTTTGCTCACTCTGAAATTATTCCCGGCAATTAAGCGATCGTCGGCACGGTCATTAGGGCTGGAGGGTCCCTCGACGGGGGAAGAAAAGAGTTCAGAGAGTCAGAATAATCGTCGTCGGAGCCCTTATCTGTCGACGAGCTAATTGTTGATCAGACGGGCACGGGGACCAGATAGAGATCAGGACGTATCTGTAGACGCGGGAACGGGACGAACGGGCGAGTGAAGGATAGAGGAGGAGGGAAGAAAGGAGCACCACACGGCAGCAGGAGAGGTCACACTCAGGGAATAACATGGAATGGAATGGCACGGACGTAGCCAGTTCGCATTGAACTGCCGAATCGCGCGGTTCTGATCGAGCCTTCTCCCTAGCTCGTTCGTTCGTTCGCCCGTTAGCCCGTTAGCCGAGGCTGTCGCACAGTGCAGACGTGTGTTGTATACATATATGTATGTATAGTACGGTTCACCAACCGGGAATCAGTGGAGACTAAAATTGGATACCTATGTGCAGGTGCGATCTATTAAAGACCGTTTAGAGTGTAACGTCATGGGATCGGAAAACAGTCGGATGAACAAGTTTTTGCGACCGATTCAGGCTCGGAGAGTTACGGATTAGAGACACGCGATGATGCTACAGACACACGCTGACGAACGAATAGGCCGTGGGATGGATAATTGCAAAGAGACAGAGTCCCCCATTAACCCATTACTGCTCATTGGCGACTTCAATTGCCACTACCTCGATGAACTGAGAAGCGCGTGTTACGGGTACCTTTGAAATTTCAAATATTACCGCCGAAAGGTTATTTTATTGCCCCCTTGTAAATTCTAACCTCAATTTTCGTAGATTCGAATGGATAAAAAAGAAGGTATTACTTGAGCACTAATGGGTTACGGATAATTGAAGATCGAAGGAATTGAAACCAGTAAAATATTACAGATTTTCCGAGGAAGCTAGGGATAATTGTTAGATTACACGGTAGATCATCTTGAATAGGTAAAAGGGAAACTATTGCTGAGCATTACTTAATGGGTTAGGGACAATTGAAATCTATTATAGATTTTCCAAGGAAGCCAAGAGTAATAAATTTCTCTAAAAGCTTCCCCTTCGCACGAAGAAGACCAGAATACTTCAGATACACTTGTTACTTCGAGTTTCAATTCGCCACGCGGTGGTCGACCGAGTCGCGAAATGTGCTTCGAGACGTGTAAGTCGCGCCGAGTGTCCCTGTTAGTGGTGTTCCTGTTACTCCCGTTGACAAAGTGTAGGCCGGGGAAAAAGGTCTCTGTCGCCGCCACACCCTGCGGCGAGAAATGAAAAACGTCTAACGGGACGATTGTAATTGAATCCCGAGGTGGATCTTCTGCATCGATCCGACAAGATCTTGAATTTTTTCGCGTATCTTTACCTGGTCTGATTTTTATAGATACCATCGTGTCCTGTGTTGAATCAGCAACTGCAACATGTCCTCTGTAAGGTCTAGTTTCTCAAAAGGAAACCTTGCAATAATTCCCATCGACATCCAACAGTCAGGAATTACTATTAATTACTCGACTTGGACACCGACATACCTTTGATTCGCATTCTAACCGTGTCCAAACATGTAGATTGTTTACAACGACCAGCCGCCTCCACGGTTGGATTACAAATTACAAAATCTATCAATTCGCTAATTATATCAGTTCCGCGGGATTCGAGGAACAGATCCATTCCCGGAGGAATTCCAATTCCATCGACGGGCAGGAATCTCGGGCGCGACTTAGCGACTAGTAACCGGTCGTGTACAAGCTTATGTACCGATCCACGGTGGATCTTGTATCATTATGTATCACGCCACAGCGTTCCACGTAGGTAACGCGTTTATTAATTTTTCTGCCTGGCATACGCATGCACGGTTCGTTTACCCGTTTGATTATGAATTACCGTTGCCCCTTCGATGGCTTCCATGGCTTGTCCACCGTGTGTTTGTGCACTGGAAACCGTTTTCCTGCGAAAACACGTTAACTGAACCGTACTTTGCTATGATATTAACGAAGAATTCTTCAAATATCGGTATACTCAATTGTAATACTCGATTCCAATTAGGTAATTGTATAACAATTTCATTGATTGCAGATTCCCATAGAATTTTCATTCAGGATCGACCCTGATGTCTCCTCGACTAAGGAACAAGTTTTACTATACCGACTCGGAACTCCGTGACAATTATTCTATTCGATCGTTAGAAATAAGAATATTGTGCGCTTTGGAACGTTTGGTGCTGGAGAGTTCGGTGCCACCTTGTATACAGGCGTTTAGTATGTGCAGTTTGAACGGACACGGGTGCAGGGTAGTACTTACGTACGTATGTATGTACAGAACGTAGTTACGTACCGGGCATGCATCTTTATTATTGGCCGAGAACCCGTACGAGCGGCGAGGTTCGATGAACCTTTACAGCTACGTATACGGGACGCGTACCCTTTCGATCGGAGCTCGCTGAAAATCCGCTGGGAACCGGTGCTCCGGTCGAGCACAGTACAGCTAACTTCGTCAGCCGTTCAGGATTCCCAATAAGATATGTATTTTCGGGCCGAAATGTTATTCGTTTAGCGGCCGACGAAAAACGTGCAGATCGTCCAGTAGTGAACGTTATAAACATTCTTTCGAATAGGTTTTTTTTTTGCAATACTTACTAGGGAAACCTGTGTGGATACTTTTGCACGATAAGGCTCTGTTCTAGGAGCTACCCGTTTCTAAATTATAGGGGTATTTCGATTACTCAATAACCATGAATATTTTAATACTGTAACTTGGAAAGCTAACATCCGAAGACACCAAGTCTCGACGAAATAATAACTTTGAATATACTCCCAGAAATGTCACGATTGATTTGTATGTCGATATTACTAGCACAAGTTCGATCCAGGTCATTCCCACGCGTCCGAAAGCAGGCATTATCTACCTCTGCGAATAATATGTCAGCAGGCATGTATCTATAGATATTTCTCGAGTTATCACGAACGATTCTCGCTTCTTATCGTGCCACCAGAAATTCTTCTGTGGTATACCCGGTAGGTGTGCAGTATCAGTTGAACCGCGTCTACGAACGTCCATACCCGAGGAATATAATAATATATTTTACACGTTTAATTAATAATTATAAAATTAGGCGACCGGGACACAACGTTGTAATCCCAGTAGAATGGTCGTGTACGCATTCAGTGTATGTAGTTAAGTGATCTAGTGGTGTACCTCGATTTTCGTGAATCACCGGTTTCGTCAGCGCTTAAATGATCCGACAATTGCTGGACGCACTAGGAGGAAGCCCGGTACGCCTATGTGTATACATACATTGAAAATATTGGGCCCTGTCCTTGTCCACGGTATTTCTAGATTAGATTCGTCTATTCCCGTCGTTGTTCCGATGGCGGAGGTGCACCTCGTTGCAACGGTCTCGCTTCCCCAGAGTGACGTCCTTCGTTTCTATAATTATTTAGCGCATGTTTCGTTCTTAGCCGCGAACAGATCGAATTCTGCGCTAGTAAGAGAAGATATCCCTTCAAGGATGTCACACTTGCGGTTCCACCGGTGGGGCCACCTACTTCCATCGATCCAGAATCGTTCTGGCGAGCGCAATTCGAATCTGCTCTATCCCCGGGAAATAATCATGTAGTTTTTTTTATATTGTTTTTTTTTGCTTTGCTGTGTCTGGATCACAATTCAGGGTATTTCGTCTGTTTCAGGCTCGAAGCGGAATGTCCGTGGGATCGGGAGGGCGGGCACCCTTTAAACGGGCAACGGCCGCATCAGTACCCGTTACGGACAAATCCACGAAAACGCGGTAAGTCATTCGTCATTAGTGATTTCTCGTAGAAAATAGATTGTTTAACGAACTTTCGCCATTCGAAAGCCGGATCGAAGAGATAAGACGCGTTGTAAAATTCGCTTTCGTTTTTTCCGCTCTGACGACTGTGTGGAAATTGTTGCGAAACCTCGAGAATTCAAAGCCACGTTTTCTTGTGTGTACTACACTTATGTATTTAAGTTCCATGATATATTCAATAACAAGAAACAATCGATCAACATTCTCGGTACAGATACCGGAGCACATGATTCACTCAAGTATCGTATATCTTCTTCGTTGTGGTTAAATTAATTTTGTATTCCTTTGATCCGGCTTTTGTTTACGTAGATAAGTGTCCGAAGAATATTTGCTTATCGACGGAATGATCGTGCGATAAATGATAACGCATGATCTCTGTCTTATCATGGAATAAATCCTGAAAAGTTCGCGGTGGAGCTTTGGTAACGTCACGATAGATGGCAGCACAATGTCGGTTCGCGGCAGAGTTACAGTTTACGGTGTATGTAGTGCGGTGAAACGTTTGAATTTGCAAGGAATCGCAGGCGGGATCGTTATTGCAATCGTAATAAGCTTGCTTTACTACGACTTGACCTGTTTGTCACCGATCTGGAAACCGGTTGTACCATTATTTTTCCAAAAATTCCGTTATCTATCTGTCGTAGCCATTGACATAGTCAAATGGTCGTCAATGGTCAATTTTTTTTTTTTTTATTATACACACATTAACGTGTACATTTTCAGTCCGTTACACAAGCGTAATTGAAACCCTAACAATATCAAATTTCGTCATTCGTAGAATAGGATGTAATTTCTCAGACGACTCGAACATCGGGGATATAGCTCAGTGGTAGAGCATTCGACTGCAGATCGAGAGGTCCCCGGTTCAAACCCGGGTGTCCCCTAATTTTTTTTCCTATGGATTTTCTTCTCTTTGCAATTCGTTACGACAGAATTTGAGACTGTAAGAGAGTACAGGATAAAAAAGATAAAAGACATTTACAATTATACATGGTAATCAACTATACTAAATTTACAATAAAAATTACAATGTAATTGTAAGTGTCCCGTAATTACATTGTAAATGCGACTTAGATTTTGTAATTAGATTACATTTTGCCCTACTATGCTGCCCATAATGCCCGCGAAATGAAATCGATCTCCTTCGCGAGATCATGTCTCTGATAGAAGAATCGAACAGCAGAGGGCATTGACCAGCGGTCAACGGTCTAACCTCTTCGTCACGTCGTTGTCGGTACGTACGGTAATTCTAAACAACAAAAAGAACTGTCAAAACATCTGTTCAATTTTGTACATTGCCGTGTTCAAAAAGAATTTGTATCAAAAATATCGACGCCGTTTTGTCGGTTGGAAAACAGTGATTGTGTGACGCGTTCGTTAACTGCAACAGACGCGGTGCGGTGCCCCTTGCAGACGCAACCGTTGCGCCGCCGTGCAAGTGGGAGGTGTTAGCGCGCCTACGTGGTGTACAATATGTATCTTGCGTTCGCCCATCCACAGATAATTTGCATATTCGTCGAAGCAGCACCGTTCCGATTGCATAGCGATCTTTCTCCACGTCGCATACGCGCATTTTACCGCTCATGAAAATTCAAACCGTTCCATTACCATGTGCCACGCATACGCGCAATCGTCGTGTTTAGTTTTTACCATTGTAAAAGAAGACGACTGTGCGACGGTCGTTTTCTTAATTGAACCGTTAACTGTATACGTGTATCAGTTACGAAGATTGGTCAGTACTGTAACGAATCGTTCCGGTTATTATATCTGTCTCAGACCAGTTGTAGCTGTTACACCGTTCTTTATGTAACCTGATAATATACCCATTATACAGCCGTTTCTAGTTCTACTACACCTGTTACATTACTTCCACTGTTATAACAGTAATGATAAGAGACCTTTATTACGCTCGCGTAGGAATATCGATAGATTACGTCATAGCGTTGAGCAAGATGTTAGCAAGAAATCAGGAGGAAAGTGAGTGTAAATATACAGGGTGCTTCAAAAGAAACGTTATTACTAACATTTTTAGAGAAACTAAAGAAAATATATCTACAGTGTGTAACAGAAATGTTGCACTCGTAAGGCGATTTGGAACGAGTTCTTCCTTAGGAAAAATGTTATCCGAGGCTTTGTTAACATTTTCGCTAAGGAAAAAGTTGTTTCAAATCATCCCAGGAACCCTTTATTTCCGGAAGTTGGAGATATTTTGGGGCATATGTATGAATTCTCCACATAAATTTCAACACTTTTCTTCAAGCACCCTGTATACATTGAAAATATCGTTTATTACGTCCACTGTTCTGCAAACGTTGCGTATCTCACGTGGCCTCGCAAGGCCTTCTTGGCTGGCTTTGTCCAAGCTCCCGTGGCCACGTGGTTCTTCTATTCAGGCATTGCTAACGGTCGGTCCCCGTCTGATTTGTGAATTTCAGATCCAAGTCGGAATCAAGGCCGGCGTCCGGCGCTGGAAGAAAAAGGGACGCGATCACGTCGCTTTTCAGCCCGAAAAGGCCAGCGAACAGGAAAGTCGAGCGAGCCGCCGGCGGCGGCGGTGGTCGCGAGTCGCAGCCGGAGGAACAACAGCTAAAGTGAGTACCAGAACGATCGGGTTACGGCTGTCTGGCAGTGACGAGGCGAACGACACGACACACGTTCACCCTTGGCGCACACACACCATTAATAGAAACCGAAAAAGGAAAATTCTGGAAGCTACTTGGTACAGGCTGCGTTCTCACGATTTCCTACAGCGTATACAGAAAATTAATGTGGGATATTCTTCTTATTCTACACGTCAAGATAATCGTAAAACGGATAAATGTCGAATCTCCTATTAGTTAGTCATCCGCAATTTTTCGAATCGCCTATATTGGACAATCAAGAATACAGTACTGGAGCGATATTATTTTCCTACAAAGCGCTTCGTGTTTTGGGGAAATGAAACATTTTGAATATAATAAAGGTGGTAGGACTTTTACGATTATCTCGACGTCTAGTACAGAGTCCCGGACAATAATCTTGTAGGGAGAAATGCTTTAGACCCTCGTGAATTCGTTTTTGTCCGAGCCTCGGCAACCAAGTATATGCTTGAAAGGTTCCACGAACTCCCCCAGTGGTGGGGATAACATCTGGACAATAATCGTGTAGAACAAGTCAGATTATAATCGAGAAAAGTCTGTACGTAGATTAGAGCCCACCCTCGAATAAGGCTCGGCCAATTGTATCCTGTGTTCCGAGAATCGGCGATAATTACAAGCCACTGCATGCCGGTCACCTGTCACGTTTTCCAGGTAAATGAAATCGGCCTGGATCGATCTAGAAAAGTGGAAGTCTATTAGCGCCTTTCGAAGCCTCGAACCGTGAAAAGCGCACCCAGAGTGTACATATACTTTCTCCTTGTGTATGTACATACAGAGATGGAAGTCGGTTTGTCTTGCACCGTCGATAAAGAGAATTCTGAGGAGAAAACGACAGGGCACCACCATATAGGAATAGACATTTCATCGAATATATTTTTTTCGGCTCACTTTTCTAGGGTCACATTACCCCATTTTCATTTTGGTGTCACTACCCACCGCAGATTTACTGTTCTTTTAACGTAGAAGTCGCTAAAATGACAGGCTTTTTAAGGTGTCGGTAGTACAGTTTAGGTGGGCCACCAACTCCCATAAGATGAAAGGTCTATTCTTATACCTCGTCGGTGGCACAACGCTTTAAACCAGTTTCTTTTTTACCACCGGCCGCAGTTTCGTCTTCACTCCCCAGCACCTCCTCCGCCACTTCCCCCTCTGGACGGCACTCGAGTGAGTGTGTGGCGCGAGTGCCTCTTCAAAAATCACCTCGTGAAGCGCCTTGTGGACGGGGACGAGTGGATTAAACGACGGCAATTGGTCGGCGGGCAGAGAACCCGGTGACTTCATCCACCAGCATTCGTTCCTCGATACTTGATTTTCTGCTACCTAACCCTTGGTGGAACAGAAAGGTGTTTTATCCAGTTCTAAGTCGTGGCATCTGAAGGAAATCGTACAATGACACTGGAGCTACCAAACCCGTCAAAAGGACGGAATTGAGATTTGTTATTTTACAATTATTGAATTCGTAAAAGTGCTGCATGACTATTATTTTATTACAGTATATTATGCTAAACTGTATTATATAGTATAAATATTCAGATATGCAATTTCATTTATTATACATTCAACGCTGGTAGTTCCAGTGTTAAACTGGTTATGCTACCTTTCAATATTGCGAACACAATTTACTATCCTGAAGTGTATTCTTGTTCGTAACAATCATCGGCCGTTTTCTCCTGTTTCAGGGAACTCAAGTGTTTCCCATACTCTTTTTTGGGAATTGAGATTCCTTTAATACATATCAAAGGCAATCATTCGTCTGAAATTGTTTGAAATAGTCTCAAATCCTTCGAATACCTTGGAGGTCCAGTGACCACAAACAGACCATTTTTATCCAATCATCACGCCAATTTTTTGAATACTCAGGACACAATTCACTATCCCTAAAGTGCATAGTATCGCCTTCATCACGAACTTTAACTGATTTCTCTTGTTTGAGGGTATGTTCCCTTCTTTTTTGGTGGACGAGGCTTCTTTTGATACCAAAAGCACTCGTATGTCTGAAGTCGTTTGAAGTTGTTTGATGTCGTTTGAACACCTTAAAGGTCCGCTGACCCGAACAGACGGTATTTATGCGCTTCCATGTGCCCAGCACGAGATGGCTCAAGTCGACGACGACGATGTCTGGGCTCTCGTCTTGTTGCTTAATTAGAGGTCGAGCACGTCGATTCCTACGGGGGTTCCCCAAGTGGCCCCGACCGGTGGTCTCGGAGAGGACTGAGAAAGACGACGACGACCCACAACGGAGCGACGAGAACCGACGACCCACATACCCAGTGGATCAAAATGTGAACGAGCGATTCGATGCACTTCGGTAACTCCTTCGTATTTTTACACGGTTGACCGTCGTGAAACGGTGCCGTCGACCATGGTATCCAGTAGAAAATTGCTCCGAGACACGATCGAATTTCACCGAAATTCCATCGATCACATTAATTTCTAGAAAATTTTTTTAATGGAACATTCAGTCTTTATATCCGAGCAATCTTTTCATTTCTAGGAAATGTTTTTAATAGACTATTCAGTGTTTCCTGTGCGTTTAATAACTGTCCACCGACGTTGGTGGATTGGATTTCTGTCGGAGTGAATTATCTGCTCGTTGAATACCTTCCTGGACCCCGTTGGAAAATGTTCTTGAACACCACAGTGAATGAAATCACGTCAAGGAGTTGACTGTGAGCGTGGACGGATCTGAAACTGGTCCGTTGAAAGGCCTTTGAATAAGGGTGTAATGTCAATTGAGAGTTGAACCGAAGTGGAATTACGTCACCCGTTCGAGCAGTCTCCTGATTAACGTTTTCTTTATTAATTTGTCTAACCACTGGCTAGCCACGCCGAAACGTTCAGCCGACAATACAAGAAAATTCAGCCCATGTCCCAGTAACAGATACAGCCCTGTATCGCGATTATTCTCGGTCTGTTTGCGCAAATGGCTGCTTAATCATTGTTTGCACGGTGACGAACACCGCTCACGACATAAACATCGATTGTTTCACGGTTTCGAAGCTGTTGAAACGAACGTATCGAGATGGAAGTACGGAGGTATTTTATTAGTTTTGATTAAATACCCAAGAAATTGTAACCAGGGCTAATTTTCTTCAAGGTGTCGATCACCCTTAGGCTCCCCCATCCATTTTCTTTTCATGATCCTCAACGTGTCGTCTGTTTTTCAGGTTCTGCCCGAAATTTTCGGAAAGAATTCCGTGAACTCCGAATTTTCAAGGCGGTGTTCGCGGAAATCGTTATCGGTCGAAGTTTCGTCGTAATGTGTGTCTCAATACCACCCTACACCTGGCGATAACGATATCTTCTCGGTCTCCGTCGACGGAGATAAGGGTGACCCCGTGGAATAACGATGCAGCGCTTCTTCCAGACTCGATTGAGATTTATAGGATCCACCCGTTCGAATATTTGACGGTCGGCGACACTGCGCAGAGGAGGAAAGTATATTCTGGCGTTCAGCCTTGATCCCGTTCAGAAGCTCTTCACACACTCTATTTTAATAGCTTCTTTCCCCCATCCTACGGGCAGTTCTTCTAGAATTCAAACGATTCAGTTTTTTAATGCAGGAATTTATTGGGGTCAATTGCGAGCACGATTGATTTCTGACCCTTTGAATGGCGAGACAGGGTTCCGAAAACTCAGAGACCGAAAATAATAGTTATTTTAAATATTTATTACTAATGGTTACGTGCAACCAAAAACGATTTCCGTCATCGATAATTATTATTTATCACCAAAAAAAAATGTTAATCATTTATAATGGTTATTCGTAACCAAAATCATTCAAAGATATTAACTCTTATATCGTCACTTTTTAGATTCTGGTTGTAACAGTTCTCTGCAACAAACCCCATAGCACATAAAGCAGACCTGATATTTATGTACTGGATTCAAAACACCTGGTTCTGTTAATATATTCAGAACAGAAGAGTGCTCGTGGTTCGGTAAAATTACACGGTTGACGAAGTGTCCATTAGACATGGATTAATATAAAGTGGACGAGAGGCGTGATAACGAACGAAGAAACGAATCTTTCGAACGCAGTCGCCGTGACGCGCGTTGCATAGGATCGGTTGCATGGAATATTAATCGAGAGGTATGAATAACGCCTGGATCGGACGTAAATACTTGACTGCATCGATCAGTCTACGTGTCAACAAGACATTCTCCATTGATATTTATACGGCGTGCACATGCCCTCCTCCGCCCCCCTTGTACGCTGAAGAAATACTAACGTAATTATACGCACATTCGCCAAGGAAACAATTAAGGGATCTGGTAGTAGAGTGATTTGAGGGGGACAAGTAAGAGCTGTCCGCTATGAATGCTGATTAAGAGGTACGCGAAACCTAGATCCTCGAGCCGAAGCAGAAAAATACAGTGTACAAGTTGCGAGCAAATTGTCAGCAAATAATCCCCATTTGGGTTTTGCAGGCAGCGCCTGCTGACAACATAGCCTGTGTCAAATTGGGGACAGAAATGGAACAGAATCTGCGCGAGCCGATTTACTGGACACTCTCTACTTTACTCTAATGAAAGGACTCAGGGATTTAACACCCTACCCACATAAACAAATTGGACCCTAACCTCTCGCCTTCGCATTTAGGATCAGTTCCGTGGAAGGAGGAAAAAAAAGAAGAGCCCCCGTCCGTATCGTCTGGTCGTCGAGTTTCGCAACACCCAGTACAACGAGCCTATTATGGAGCGATCCATTTAGTGTATTCTCGAAACTCTTCGCAGGCGAGAACAGGGGGATCGACGGAGTCATTTGTAATATGCCAGAACGCAGGATATTTCGACTAGAGATGTTCGATTCCAATCTCGACTCAGCAGAAAATCGAACATCCCTAATTTCGACGTCGAACCAGCAACCCGACGCCGACGTTCCTCCACATATTTAGACTGGCCTTTGACGTTCCTTTCTTTTTTTTCTTTCCACTGTTCTTCCGCGGCCTCGAGTCCAAAGATATGCCCGATGACGCGACCGTTTGCCCCGTGCTCCTCGACTCATATTTCCGCTAAAACTCGAGGGAAAAAGCGCAACGTTGCTGCACACGTATACGCATACCGGTTCTTCGGTTGCGCACGGGACACGTGCACAAGACCCAAGCGATAGTGTCGCGAAGATAGGCCCCATTACGGCCGAACGAGCCCGCCACGGCTTTACGAGTCTCTTGTTAAAGCTGTATGACGCGGGCGATCAGGTGTATCTCGCAGACGTACGCGCTTTGTCCACGATATTTCCTTCCTTGTGGAGGTGGCAGTGTCTTGTTGCAATCCTTGGAATCGAATTTTACCCATTTGTCGATTCTCTCGACAGTCAGCGTACACCCTGCTGGAGTATTTGGATTCATTTTTATTAGCTTGTACGTGGAAGTGTCCAACCTGGGTTTAATCTAGACCCAGACCGCATTATTGGACTTATCATGATCATAACCCTGACCGAGATAGATCTCAGGTGACTGGAAATGAGTCTGTCTCTTCTTGCCCCTAGGTAGCCTGAACCCGCCTAACGGAAAGTATCTTCGAGTATCGTTAGAGGGAAACCATCTACTACTGCGACGTAGTTTGTAAACACAGATGTTTTGTCCTACTGTCATATTCTTACTGCATCGGATTATCTGCATTATATGAAGATTGTAGAGGCGGGAAATTAGAGCAGTTGTTGGTCTGGATGTTAAGTAGAGGTTAGAAAAGGAAGGAATCACTTTTGGTGACTAATGGAATGCTGTATGTATAACTAACGACTGTAATCCTGTTCCAGGGGCAAATGTCTTCCATTGAGAACAAATAGGCCTGGATGAATAGTCCCTGATAACCAGTTGTGTACAAGTTTCGAGCAAATTCCCAGCAACGAATAACAAAAGTTGTCTAAAAAAAGCCATTGCCGTCTGTTTCCGTCTTTGACTTGGCTATTGCAGGCGTCGCCAGTTGAGAAAATGGTAAAGCAAATTGGCAGTAAGTCTTACACATAAACTGTGTCAAATTGGAGGCAAAAACGGAACAAGGTTCGCGCAAGCCAATTTGCTGCAAGTTGTTTATAGCAAATCTTGCATCAAACTTGTAGCCTGAACTGTATAACAGGCATTGAACAAAATTTGCCTTTGCAGGTTTGGCTGATTGGGGTGTAGAGAAATGTGGATACGCTTTTGTTGAGTAGTCAGAGCCAGGTCAAGGATTACCCACGAAGTAGTCCCGTCGACCGCAAAATCCGTCCAGTGTCCTGGAGAAGTTTAGGCCACCGGGTACATACCATATGTCGACCGTATGAGAAAACTGGTCGACGGTGAAGCGTCTGCAGATTCCGTGGCCTCCTTAAGCAGCTTCTGCTTCCCTTCCCTAGGCCCCCGGTATACTCGCTTAACCATCCTCCACGGAGTATGTACTCGTTCCCAGAGAGCCGGCGCAGGCTGTCTTAAGCCCCACCAACCCACGGCAATTATCTCTCTCTCCCTCTCTCTGTTAATTTTCTCTCTTTCTCACTCTCAGTGGTCGGTTGAAAAATCGACCGACAAGTCGAATGATCGAGCCGCATCACCGGCCCAATCGGATACCACCGTCTGCCCCAAATGTGGACCCTTCTCTCTCGTTCATCCTAGAATGGACCGTACGAATGATACGGAGGATCTAGAAAATCGTTAGATTATACCAAACTCAGAGTTTAAGAACCACAGAAGAGTTTTCATAGAATCAGAACGAAATACATACATCAGTTTATAATTGGCTCGAATGATCATGCGATTAGAATCCTTATCTTCTTTATGTTTCCTGTAAAGCTTTTGTACACATATTTACTGTTCTTGCGACGAGTTCTTCTTAATCGAGATAACGGAAGGAATCTTTGATCTCATTAGAGAAACCGGGCAGAATCTTGCGTAAGAGAAATTTCACTTCCTCGATCGGATGAAAACTGGCCCCCATCTCGTCAATCGTAGAACTCTCGTCGTTTTTCCAGTAAACCGATAACGATTCACGGAAAATTGGTGAATGCGGGAAACCTGATCCTACGGACAGGCGTATTCCAGATCGTTATCGTTACCTTCCCCTGAAACGTTTTTTGTATCATCGTTACCCGTAAATTTAAAGCAACGCCGTCCGACCTAAAGTTTAAGGAACTTTCCCCACTGTTGCTACCGGTCGCTTCCCCTATTCCGTGGGTGCCGTAACGACACGGATGCTTCCATCGTAAATTTAGTAAATGGACCACAAAATTAGTACGTCTGTCATAAGTTACAGGGCTCGTGTATTGATTCTACAGGCACGTATAAAAATTCTAATTAACAATTGCTAATAATCAGCAATTTGAACGCCCCATAAGCGTAAAGAGACACGCACAGGGCCCCTTTGTGGACAGCCCTGAGTTCCACTGTCACGCTCGGCATGGTGGGGGAAATGTTTGTGGTGGGGGTAGGCTCTCGAGACACTCTTATTCAGTTACCGATGCATCGTCGAGGGACGTGCATCGCGTAGAATCGTTTTTTCGTATGGAATACACCAATGGATATCTGTTTGTTTTCGAAATGAGAAGAAATACTGTTTTCGAAAGTTCCGTTACATATCGCCTGTTCGAAAATGAAAAGTTCCGACGTGGTTGTGTCGATTTCCGTGAATCCGTTCAGACTGAGTGAAAAAGCACTCCGATGATCTTTCTCGCACGCCTTTTCGTCGCTAAACGATCGGTTCGAACGATCTAAATCTTGTTTTTCCGTGTACAGACCATTCTGGATCTAAGGATGCGAGGAAATTTTTCGAGGCAGGCCTCGCGAAAAGAAGAACACGAAGAGATTATGTTGGCCGCAAGACCGGAGATCGGCTGGTCGATGCAACAAGTGGTCGTCGGAGGCTGGAATGAAAACGGGACCGTGTTCCTTCGTTCCATCTTCGTCGACGGATCTCGGTGAACGTTGTTCCAGCCAGAAATCGTGAAGACTCTCGGTGGAACGAAAGTGGCTCGAGGTCGCGGCGTCTCACGAGCGAATCTTCGAATTCTTCAGCGGACTCGTGTCACACGCTGCGGGAACCGATCATCTCTGCCCCCCCCCCCTGCCCCGTGTAACCTCGGCTTCCTTGAACCAGAGAAATTTCGTTTCCTTTTCGAATGTTATAAATCGTTCATCAATCGGACGCGTTACCGTGAAAGTGGAGCGTGCTCTCGATACAGAGGATTCTGTACAATTTCATCACGGGTCTCGGTTCGTAGAGAGCCCTCCCCCCTTCCCCGTTTTGCAAGCCATCTTAAGTTGTGTTTTATTCGGACCACGGGACTGTATACGATAGGTAGTTATCGTAGAACTCGTTTGCATATTCGTTAGGTGGCCGAAAGGGTGGCTTCGGAAATGAATCTCTCATCGATCGGGATCGTGTTACGCTCGTACCCTTCCCTGTGCCAAGTGAACTCAGTGACTTTCGCACGTATAATGATCATGATGTTGCTCGAACGTTTATAACCGTCTTGGGCAACGTCGCGATACCGTCAAATACATCCCTCTATCGTTACATTTAAAAAAATATGAGTTTCGATTGAGTGGCCAATGAAACGGTGACAGTCGACCATGATGAAGTTCAAATCGCTGTTTCGCAGAGGACAACCGAACCAATCGCCGCAGCAGCAGCAACCGCCGACGCAGCAGCAGCAGCAACAACAACAGCCGCCGCAGCAGCAGCAACAGATACCGCTGCGTCAGGCGGCCAGCGCCTCCTCGCTCGAGGCGAAAAACGAGAACCCCTCTGTGGGGAACTGGGGCTCCCTCGGTAAGGAAGGAGGCGGCAAGGCCAACGCTAAGGGGAACTACAACTCGAAGGGACCCGCGAAGGGTTCCAGGATGCAGGAGCTTGAACGTGAAATCGAAGTGTTACGCAAGGAACGTGCCCGGCTCGAGACGAATCTACGGGAGGCGTCCTGCGACGCTCAGAATCTTCATGATTTACGGACCGAACTCGCCTCGCTCAAGGTAACCGGCTGATATGCATACACTGACGTGCAAACGGGGCTTCCGCTAGGAGAAAAAGTGATGTAAGGAAAGGGCCTCCTACTACTTGGTAAATTTATTTCAGGTACTGAAACAAATGTTAATTTGGCATAACTTTCAGTAATTCCCAATACCAAGTGGTAGGAGCATGCTAGGTGGCCCTTTCCCTAGGCCACTTTTATTCCTAGCAGTACACAGAGATCCTGAACCTAGTTTAGTTTAGTTTGGCTCATTTTCACCCGTATCCTGAACCTAACCCAGGCGAGAGTCTCGTTAACCCTTGTGTAGGCAACCGGAAATTCATGGTGATTGAGCAATCGAAATACTCCCATTCTAACAGATTAGATCAACATAGATACTTTTACTTTCATACTTTTGCGAGAGTTTTAGTTTTACCTTCCTGTAATATACAAAGGTGCTGTTTTAGACAAGAACATCAAAAGTTGTGTAAAGAAACTTAGAAATGGGTACCTGGGTACACGGTTGCCTACACAAGGGTTAAAGTTGGTTGGGAAGTTGCACCAGAGCGAGAGAGACTTCAATGCCCGTCGTCGTCTCTTTCCTCGCGTTTTCTCTGTCCCTTTCCCTCCCCACACACAGCGTTTTCTCAATTCTTTCCTTCTCCTCATGTGCTTGGGAATGGAACCTCCCACCTGAATCCTTCTTTCCTCAATGCCCGCGTAATATCGCCGACCTTACATGGAAAACAGACAAGGGGCACTCTCTATCTTCGAGGGCGGTTTCTTCGTCATCGATTAAGTGGTTCCTCTCCGTAGATACGATTCAAGGCGAACGTGGGTGATTGTGTGTGTGTGTGTTTTTTTCTCGTCGATATTACAAAAAGGCGGACGTTACGTAATCGAATTATAATCTCGTTATATTTGAGCCGTGATACGAAGGCGGTTGATCAACCGACCAACATCCACACGAGCGGCAGAAATATTTTAGGAAACGTTTAATCTTAGGTGAATTGGAATACTCAAAGCGGTTTATGATTTAACAAATACCGTCATGAATATTCGTATGTAATCTAAATAGTTCGAGGATCGAATGTAATTGTATTGATGTCGATTTTCATAATGTAAATACGTTAAAAACCCGCGTATTTAAAAGTCTAGCCAGAGGGCGTATAGCGTAGGGATGTTTACGAAGGAAGGAAGCTTGTGAAACGAAACGACCGCGAACGCTATGAAAAAACTTTGTCTTTCTTCGTCCACGGTAAACGACAAGGGACACCTTAGTTTACAAATTGTTTATGTTTACACGACCAATCGTAAATACAAAGTTCTGCGCGTTGCCTTTCGCATGTTGGCGGAACGGTTTGCCGTAACGTTCGCCGACCTAACCTCGATCAGTGACACTTATTTTGCCGCGCGTTACTAGTTCAGGATTGTTGAAAAATACGTCGCCTTGAATCGCAAACTTAGATTTCTCGGTATTGTCACAGTATATCGTGCGGCTAGGCGTATTGCGTTTCCCTGTATCACACATCGTCCGAGTAATTAGAGTCCGTTCAGCCTCCATGTTCTCTTTTACGTAAGCGTGGCTGGTCGTTGTGTTGTTAATGTAAATAAAACGGTGTAAACAAAAAAAATATAAACGTTTGCGGTCACACTTCTGTTCAATAATTTTTGAAACATACAATTGTGGTAGAATTCCATTTATGGAAACCTATAAGGAGGCATAACGATGCAAGCAATTGACTTAATAAGATTCCTTTTTGTTTTTTCATATAAATGCAGGAACAGCACAGTTTGGAGTTAGAGCACCTGAGTGAAGAGAATGAAACTCTCCGTGCAAGACTCAGAGATGTAGCTCATTCTCCATTGTCAGATTCTGAGAAGCAACAACTGCTTCTGGACGCATCTAGACTACACAATTCAGCGCCTGCATCCATAGCCATTCCCCAAGATGAAGCTTCTACCCCAATCACACCGATGCCTCCGGACAGTGCTCAATGCACCACCCCAGATTGGGACAAACATTCTTCCAGTTCTGTATCAGAAGTTTCTGTTGCATGCCTGCAGGACAGAATATTGCAAATGGAAGAAACGCATTATTCGACGAACGAGGAGTTACAGGCGACGATACAAGAATTAAGCGATCTACAAGTATGGATCATGGCATTAAAAAATTGGAATGTCAAATCACAATGTAAGATATTAATTGCTGGTTTCTTTCTTATAGGCACAGCTTACAGAACTACAAGCTGACAACGAGAGGTTAACGGAGGAGAAAGATGTGCTTCTAGAATCATTGTGCAGGCAAACAGAAAAGCTGGAAGATTCACGGTCAAAGGTTGATACATTGCAAGGACTACTTTTGAGGGAGGAACAGCCTCAGGAGTCTACTAAAGGGTATAACACTGAGAGGGAACAAAAGCTAGTAGACCTTTTAAAAGTATATATCTCCAATACATAAAATTACCAGTACAAATTGTACACCGATTACTGACCAAATCAATTGATTGCAGAGTGCTCAAGAGGAACGCGAATCTCTTCTGCAGAAGCAAGAAGAATTGACGTCAGAATTGAAGGTTCTTCGAGCTGCCGCGGAAGTCAGTGCGGTGGAAACGGAACGTTTGACAAAGTGTGTTCACTTGTTGGAATCGACCGTAGAGATAGCGAATAATGAACGAAAACAGCTGGACATGGAGTTGGCAGAAGCTAGGCAGGAAGGAGCAAACCGAAGCATAGAGATTAGCAGGCTAGCCACGTTGTTGGATAATGCTCGAGCGAAGATCGAAGAGTTGGAGCAGTCACGACAGGTGGAGAACAAAAGCGAAGCTGACGAACTTTTGGACGCCGCCAGGAGGGAGAAAGACACATTGGAAACGCAAGCAGCAGCTCTGCAAGAGCAGCTGGCGCGCTCGCATTGCGATCACGATCGCCTTCGGGATCAATATTCGCAGCTTCAAGAAGAATATAAAGTACGACAAACGTGCCTCTGAAGAAGATTTCGGATGCAAGGAAAACAGATCTTAACCCCCATTATTTATTTCTTATTTTAGGTAGCACGCAATAACGCAAAGTCAGCCATCGACGACTTAGAGTACAGACTGAATCAGCTGAAGGACGAACGGTTGTCCGTGAGCACGGAACTACAGCTCGTTAGGGATTCCTTGGCCGAGTTGCAGGCACAGTGTCAGAGGCATCTGGAAGATAAAAGAGAACTGAAAGCTGCCCTAAACGAGGCGCAAAGAGGAGGTCGTTGAATGGGAACAGTTTCAAACGGACCTGCTGATGACCGTACGTGTCGCGAACGATTTTAAAACGGAAGCTCAGAGTGAATTGGAACGCGTTGTGATGGAGAACAAGGCACAACGAGACAAACTCCGAGCACTGGAGGCGCAGCTAGACAAGCTCAATAAAGGTAAGTGAAATACCTTTGGGGCATCGTTCGATTCTCTATATAAGTTTCATTAACGGCGCTTGAAGACTTTTAATATACCATATGTCCGTAGACCAAGATAAGGTTAGGGAAGCATATACAGTATTCCAGTTTAGACTTTCTTTTCTGCCACGAACGTGCCGGAATGTTATTAATACAATATGCGTTTTGTCTGTTTTTTTGTTTTCAATTTTCATTCGGATGTCAGCCAGCGCTACAGTGTCCCAATGTAAGACACACGGTAATACGACCGGAGGTAGTCGCAAGCCTGCGAGTAATATATTGAAACGTGGGCGTACTATCGTAAAGAGGCGGCACGAGTCGAAAAAAGGCGGTTTCAGGGGTAATTTTTTAAGAACATTGAACGATCCAGAGCCGTGCAAGATTGAGAACTCGAATCTCGAACAGCCCAACGATTCGGTCGTCTCTGAAAAGTCGAATAAAACGCTTCCAGGATCAGATGATCGTAATGAACTGTCCTGTTCTAAGGAACCTATTAAATTGGACGACAAATTGATTTCTGGCAGAGAGATCGAGTTCTGTCCAGCATTTGATAAGGATTCATTCCACTCACTTACGAATAACATGTCAGAGATGTCGATTAACGATATATCGGAAGATCCCTATAGTTTGCAAAAACGTTTTTCGGCGGAGTTCGGACACACTAATGAAAATAGGGGGTCCAACGAATCGTTGAAGCATTTAGAGGAACATACGAAGTTAAAAATTCCGAATGTAGCCTCTGTCGAGGATAGTGTAGCTGCAAAATCATCATTGTTGAAAGATATAAAAGGTATACAAAATATGGGAACCGATTCCTACGGCATCAGTATCTCGAACAGCAAGTTTTACGTTCCTAAGAATTACGTTTTCTCCGGCGTGGAGAACGCAATGGACGATTTGAAATTCGAAGTAGATCCGGGGATGAGAAAAGTCCTGCAGGAATGTACTCAAGCGAACAATAATAATAATAATATCACACAAGAATCTCATACTTTAAACACATCTGCGTTGAAAAGGGACAAAGAAAACTTGTCCAAAGAATTGGATGCAACTACGAAACCAGAGGAGGAGTGCAATAATGATTATTTTCTGAATAAGAAACGCAGATTATTCCTGAAGAAGAACGAGTCGAAATCTGGCAGCGAGATCGTCGACTCTCTGTTAGATCCTACCGAGAAAAAGAATATTTCCAGTGCTACTCTGCGAGGTAAGAGTTACTCCAGCTCTCTGGAGAGAATTGATACTCAGGGCAGAACGAGAAGCAAAGAGGAACCGATTAATGATCATATCGAAATCAGTGCCATACGCTACAGGGACAGAACTGAACAAACGTATTTGAGGCCACAGAGTGTGCCAGTTGAATCTTACCTGTACAGAAAGTCAGAAGACTTAAATTCGGATTCCTTGAATCTGAGAAACACAAACACAGGAAATTCTAGAAAAGAGACGTATGAAAAGTCTGCAACACGATGTCCAATTCTATCTTCCCTGGAGAATCTTCCTCGATCCCCCGCGCTCGATGCTTCAACGGCGCCAAAAGAGAGCATGAATTCGTATACGAAGGATATTGTACGAGGATCAACAGCTCCGTCGAATTTATCCGTGACAAAGCAAAGCAGCGAAGTCTCGAAACTCGAGGATGAATCACAGGAAACTACGAAGAAGGGCTTGAGTCTTTGCGAGGCAAACCGATTGAAGCGTATGCAATTTTTAAATACCAATCTGTGCCATTCCGAATCGGCCACGGAAGAACGGTACAATAGTTCTGTTACGGAACAAAAATCGTCGCATAAAAACGCGACCACATACCCGAAAACCGGTCAGAGCAATTCTGCGTTTACCTACAAGGATAAGTCGCTGGTAGGGAGGACGTCGTCTTTAAGAGAAAAATTTGAGACGATCATTGAAGACGTGGAACTGAGACCAGGCCGGCAAATAGGTACAAAATGCGACCGTAAGTCGCCCCAAAAGTAGTGTGAAAACGTGATTGCTTGTATTTGCAGAGTTCAGTATCCCATTGTCTGTCCTGGTTTCTCACTTCTAGCGAAAGACACAGAAAAAAGCTCGTGTACCATCCTTTACCACTCGTTGCTAGCCTGAAACAATTCTTCTAGGCCCTACTCTTACCTCTCACGTTGTATTTTTTTTCTTACAATCAATAACACACACATCCACACACATGTTCTCTAGTGTCGTCCATTATCTCTGGAATATTTGCTTTATGTTTTGTCCCTCATCGAACTTGTACATCGGTACACCCACACAAGTCATGTAAATACAAATTGGTAATTCCATATTGAAAGTCGAAGACAAGTAACCATGAGTATTACTAGTGTTTTCTTTTCTCCTTTTTTTTTTTTGTTATATTTGTGCTTTCTATTTTACATGTAAACATAGTGCTTATTGCTTTTTTTTTTGTTTCTTTGAGTCGAGTATGTGTGTTGAACGGGTTAGTATTTCATTTTCCTTTGGTGATATTTTCAGCTAACCAAAAGGTGATACAACAACCACCTCAGAGGCCTGCGAGTACACCAACTGATACTCAACAGTGCGTACTGACCAGTGTGCAACAGGAAATCGCGGCTCGTCGTAAAGCTAATATTACTCGGCAAGATTCGAGGCTGTCTGTGAAGTGTTTGATAGAGAGCATTGAAAATGCCACTAAACAGGCGAAAGCAGGTATGTCTACACATTTTCTGAACTGTTCTGTATGATGTTTTCATACAAGCTATTGGGAGTTTAAAATTATCTGCGGCCCTAGACGTCGATATACGAACTGATATTAATGGGCGACGCTGGTATACAATTTAGTACTGTCTAGACATGCATAGTAGTTGAAAAGTTGGAGTAGTTACTACAAATAAGAGTTCAAAAAACTTTAAGAAAACAGATTTAGATGCAAGTAAACGAGTTAAAACAATTTGCAATAATTTCGTCTTCGACCAAATTTCGGGACGACGGCGTTGCTTTTGCATATTCACAAATTGTATCCAAACGTACTGTCAACATTTTTACTGCAAGAAATTACTTTTAAATAAACTTTTATGTTACTGGTTCCACATAAACGTGTATGTAGTGAAATGTATACTTCCGTCGTCCATATTTGTTACGCAACACGAGCGTCATCATTCCCATCGTGGTAGTATTCTTTGCCAACACGTTTGGGTATTGTCACCAGGGCCGGGAAGTCGCAGCAGTTCCACGTCCTCCCTTAATTCCATCGGAACGAACGATATAATGACATTAAAGGCTCCGCTTAGGGATCAGCAGCAGATCAATAACTTAATCTGCACGGCAAACTCGACGAATAATAATAAAACACAGGCGGCAATAACGAGAAAGCCGTTGTCAGGTAACTTTTATTTTAAGTAAAAACGTTTGGCTTTGCCTGAAAAAGCTATCGCTCCCCACGGTCACGAAACAAATATTTCCTTCTTGTGTAAACACCGAACGAGTTTATATATATATATATATATATCCGTTGAACTTAACTACCATGCATCGTTTGCGTATCCCACCGCTTTAAAAATTGTTTCGACATGCAACATTATTTGTGCATTCCTCTGACACGTACACGCACGCACGCACACGCTCTGTATGCTTGTTATGAAAACAAACAAAAAAAAAATACTTGAACACGCACGGTGTGATCGATAGCATATCATCATAATTCAGTCACGTTCTTCCAATGATTCCAACGCAGAGACAAAGTCAACACCTGTGGTGTTAAGCCCTGGTGAGCTGCTGGACTCGGCCGCTTTGAATGCCAAGGCGATCGACTTTGTGCGTCGCAACAGCGTGACAGACTTGTCGGAGCGCAAAGACCCACTTTGCGGCCTGATTAAGAACGGAGGCTCGAAACGAAACGCTTTGCTCAAATGGTGTCAGAATAAAACGTTAGGCTACCGGAATATCGATATCACGAATTTCAGTAGCTCGTGGAACGACGGCCTGGCGTTGTGCGCCATCCTTCATTCTTACCTACCGAACAAGGTACCCTACGATACGTTGACGCCGGTAGAGAAACGACGAAACTTTTCCATCGCTTTCTCTGCCGCCGAGAGCGTCGGAATACCCACCACCTTGGTAAGTTTTAATGATTTTATACGACGAAGCATCGTTACAGGCATTGTAGTTGGCGAAAAGAATAATATATATATTAATGAGGATCCACTTTCGTTCGCAGAATATAGGTGAAATGTGTCAATTGGAGCGACCTGACTGGCAACAAGTCATGACATATGTAACCAGTATTTACAAACACTTTGAAACGTAATTTCCGATGGTGTCGGTGTACCGTATCACCGAGGCAGGTCCTCTTCTCTCCATTCAATGAGAACAACATCATCTAGTCAACCAAAAAAAAAAGAAAAACAAATTTCTATAGGGCGAAATTTCGCAAGGACTTTTTTTAAATGGATTTCCCAAGGATCGCTGGATCAGTACTGCCTATACGTCTGATCTATTGTGCACGATTGCGAGTGAATTCGTAACAGAGAGAACTCAATGGAAGACTATAAAACACCAAATGGAATTGCTTTCTTTCTTTTACTATGAGACTGAACACGTTTATATACACACGCATATATATATATACATAGTAAGAACGAGGACAAAGAATTTAGAGACAGGGATTTCTTTGTTTTTTCTTTTAGAAACCGCCATTGGCGGCGGATAAAGAGAAAATAAACGAGTATAAGCTTTACCGGAGTCTTCTGCGCGTGAAAAATGTGTGTATGCTTCAGTGCCTCCTTGGCGAAGCCAACAATATTAATTACTACTCTGTGTGCAAGAGAATTTTTATACGCCGTGGTCTTGCATTCTTTGTAACGAAAACCGAGAGAGTGTGTCGAATGTTTCCGTTCCTCGTACCGTGAGTATTTTTGTACTTGTATTATTTTTCGAGAAACTTTTTTGTAAAGTTTACAAACGAATTGTACAGAACGAAGCGCCTTAATTTAAACGACCTAATTTATTGTATTAGTCAGGTTTAGTAGACTACGAAGCCGGAGCAGCAAATTCTATTAGAGAGCGACGTGTTTTAAGTTCTACTCTTTCTTGAGATGGTAAGGAACGAACGAATAAGGATTAAGTTCTCTGTGATATAGCGAGATAGCCCCAGAACAGAGATAAAAAGTTATCGTTATTGCTCTTATTATTATTATTACGATTATTACTATAATTATTACTACTACTATTAATATCATCCTCATCGTCATTGTTGTACCATTGTAGACAATATGCTGTCTGACATAAAACAATAAACTTGCCTAATACTATTTAAAAAATACCGACCACCTGCCTGAAGTGAAGGGTATTGTTAATCTGATAAGAGGCAGGGCTACATATAAACTGTCAAATTAGAAATAAGGAATCATTTTAATTGATTTGTGGGTATATACAGTAGTCTGCTAATAGTATTTACAATTATCAGTTTCACAGTAAAAATTAATTCTCAGTGTTTCTCCACTCTTGCTCACGTAGCACATAATCCTAGTGTAATGTGTCACTTCCAATTTCAATTAAGCAGTTCATTCGTTCCTTTATCACGATTCACTAACGTCCATCTTATCCTGATCTTTTTCACCTGAATAATACTCGTTAGCCGGTTCAACTATTTTATCAGTGTCCTGAACATTCTGTCTAGAATCTGGATCTGGTTCCGGTTGTCTCTCTTCCTCTGGTGGCAGAGCATCGCATGGAACGTCTTGCATTTGAACACTTGGTGAATGTTGTATCATTTTCAAATTATCGTACACGTGTCTCGTGATTGCTTCCAAGTATTGTTTACTGTTCGCGTTGTCCTGTCTAGTCACAACATCGGGATGCAACGTGAAGTCCGGTGCAAAGTACTCTAAGTATTCCGTGTAAGGCAGCTCGTTGCTGATCTGTTCGTCGACCAGCAGAGACGTTTCGTAGGTCCAGCAGCGGGCAACGTTCCGTAGAGTGTATCCACCTCCTCCTACAGTAAGTAAAGGAACATTCAAGTCTCTAACGAATTTTACACATTCCCCATGTCCTTTTGTACTCAAACTGAAGCAGCCAAGACGATCGTTTGCTAGAGAATCGGCGCCACATTGCAGGACTATTGCTGTAGGCTGGAAGAACTCCATTACATGAGATATTACAGGCTTGAACACTTGGACGTACGAGGCATCATCTATGCCCTCTTTCAGTGGTACATTAACTGAGTAATATCTCCCACTTTCTGCGCCTATTTCATACATATCTCCCGTTCCAGGGAAGAAGTAGTTGCCATATTTATGGAATGATACAGTCATCACTCTGTCTGTGAGATAAAATGCTTCTTGAACTCCATCGCCGTGGTGAACATCTATGTCTATATAAAGCACTCTGGCATGGTATTTCAGCAACTCCAGAATTGCTATTACAATGTCGTTGATATAACAGAAACCAGATGCTTCGAATTTCTTTGCGTGATGCAGTCCTCCGCTCCAATTGATGGCAATATCACAGCAATTATTGTTCAGCTTTGTGGCACCTTCCAATGAAGCACCTGTGTACATAGAGCAGAAATCAAATAGCCCTTCAAAAACAGGGCAGTCATCCCCTACGTTAAAATGGCTGAGGTACTTTGTGTATCCTTGTAGATTTTGAGGAGTCACTCTTTGCAGGAACTCTACGTATTCGTCTGAATGGAAACGACACATGTCATGTGTGCTGGCCCGGTATGGACGGTAGATTTGCATCTTTTTATGCAAACCATAATTAAGTACTAGACTGTGGATCACGGAGAGCCTATGAGGTTTCATTGGATGCCCAGGACCGTAATGAAAGTTTCCAACGTCTGGATTGTAAAAATACGATACCTTTTTATTGTAACTCATGTTTGAGGTTAGACCAGTCACGGTTCAGAACACGCAAGTATAAATATGTAAAGTATAAAGGAATGCCTTCGTCGTCAGTGTAACTGAAGCGTCATTGTGCAGGACTAAGCAAATTGTTATTTTTTCTTTCTTGTTCTTATTACAAAAGTCCTGTTTGTGAGGTGTCAGGGTTTAACAAATGTCACCCATGCACTCCCCTTTTGGGATATATCGTTGCTTTGCACGAAACGTAGAAAATTGTGTTTACTTTTAATTCCCATTGAGCAACAAACCGAAAACAATAAAACAAATTTTTCAAATAACAGTAACAATATTTCTGACACTGTTTCGTTGCTTTGACAGTTTTTTAACGCCATCTGGGGAGATGCTTTCGACATTATTTTTAGTGTTCAAAAATTCCGAACCATTCCCCACGTGAAAGAAAATATATTCTATATTTTTCTTTTACGTGCAAAATATTCATTTCATTTGCATCTAGTATTTGAAATAGTATCTCGAATACTTCTTACGTATTGATTTCAATAGAGTCATGAATTTCTTTCGATTAAATGTTTATTCGTCCAAAAATCAATATCGCAACATTAGAAGTACATTTAAATAAAGTCATAGTTGAACATTCGTGTCAAAATTGTTTTCAATTCAAAATGCAGTTAATAAGCAGAGCAATCTGCGTAAAGTTTCACGGTGCATTTAAGTGGAAGCTGCGCTAAATTGATCGGGTGCCCTGCGGCCATTCTTGTTTTCTGAACGCTAGAATTTAAAGAAGACAAAGATCGTAATCAGTTCGTGTGTACAGAAAATTAAAAAAATCCGAAATCATGAGACCGGATTCACGGAGTGTCTCGTTTACGTTTCACCGGGAAGTTCTGAATGTCAAAAATTCACCGGAGATCACGAAAAACTCGAAGAATTTGAGGCGTCGTCTTCAGGACCGCTTCGAAAAGGATAAATCCAATGATTCTTACAAGGAGAAAACGCCAAAAGACAAGCAGCCAAACGATCGAAGTTGGAACAATATAACGCTCGGAAATATGTCGGCAGACTCTAGACGGGCTTTGCGGAGCGGAGCCGAAAAATTATCCAAAACCATATCTTCCGTACGCACAACCTTTGGAACCATTTCACAGGTCTGACAAAAGATTTATATTGTTCGACATCCGAGTCTTACAAAACATTGCCTTTCTTTATTAATACTCTGTCCATTTTTCATTTAGAAATTCAAAAGTTCAACACGCAGACGTCAAAGATTAGAGGAGCAGCAATCACCAAACAGCATGTCCAAAATGCAGACTCCTCAGACACGTTCTCGTCAGCTTCTGGGGCGAACACCAACAAAACTTTATAGCCCTTTTGGCATTGAGTCTCCCAGACATGCATGGGACAAGGAAAATAGCGAAACACCCATACATACTCCACAAGGAGTAAACACACGTTACATACAATGCAGGCCATTTCGTTTTACAAGGAAAGGGTTTTCCATGCTGAGATAAAATTTTCTTTGAATTCTTTTCTATTTTATTAAGGTTTCTATAATGATCTCTTACTTCCTAGCAACACATTCAGGATTTGTGTGCCTTGTGCAACTCATACTTGAATTATTTATTTGATTTTCATCGAGGTAGTAATCTGCACCCAACAGTTATCATAATGTACTATCTATGATATCAGACTGCTTTACATGTACATGCAATGTATTATGTATTTATACCTTTTTATACATATTTATATTAATAATTATTACGAACGCAATATCAAATAAAAATGCAGGACAAGGATATTGATGGATGAATGCAGGAGTTTTAATTTAAAACATTGATCTCTAGGAGCGACTAGAAATCAAAGTTGCTTTGATACCGGTAAATTTTTTTTATTAAGTTATATTAAAATTTTCTAAATTGAAAACAAAATAATAGTAACACTGATATAAAACTTATATTAATACCAATATTTTTCAGGTTTTTATTTATATTGGCCTTTGTTCTTTTTCCTATGCTTCTATGGTAATTCAACTTTATGATTTATTATTACACCGTGACATATATTGTTACATAATAAATATATATAATAAAATAAACATACATAAATGAATGTTCTACTAATGCATTCAGATGCAATTTAAATGTTTAGCATCTGCAATAGTAGCATCATTATCATTTTAATTTCAATTTTGTGTAAAAAGACGAATATATAAAAAAAGTATCATGATACATACTGATAGTTTTTGTTCCAATTTAGGTCCTCTGTATAAAGAAGTGACGCTCGGCAGAAGATACGTTCCTGACTGAACCTAACCTCACGAATGATTCCCATTAATTGCAAGCTTCGATGCTATCCGGCCTACATTCATGCATTTTAATAATTTATCCACATATTTGGATAAAATATGCGTGCCTATATTTTCCGATAGAGTTAAAACGATCGGATGTTTTTGTTATCCGTTGTTCATCTGTTAATGTCCGTGGTACATCAGGTGGCAGTAATTAATTACGATTTCGGATTCCTCTGTGAGATCAAGTAGTTGAGATACTATGAGTTTTCGCGCCTGATTTTCCTTCTGAATATCTTAATCTATTTCTTTAATCACAAATCGTTAATTAATAAGCAACATATTTATTTAGTTCGTGAAATGTTACATTGAAAATTGCTGTGCGCGTACATATGTATGTTATACTGTTGACGTGCATATATAGCCGTGAAGAGGAAAGTTCACCATAAAATGCTACCGGCTCAGAAAATTATCGGTTTGAATGCGACAGGATTAATACGCGAAAATGAAAAGCAATTGTAATCGGAGAATGCGTCGTTAACATTCACTGGTGTGCCTCATGAACAAACGAGATGGATGTTCAAGAGCGAAAAGTTGCGCAGGATAACGTGAACCTTCATACTGGGTAAGCTTCCTATTTATGAAAAAAAGCTTATTCCCTTTTTTAGTATTTTGCATAAACTGATAGGCAGATCATGCAACAATATGTTTCTTGTTACGGAATCTATGTAGAGGTTAGAAATCATGGACATTATTGAAGACATAAGAATGTTTTTAATACACGGTTCTACGTTTCTAAAACTTCATTCGTATAATATCGGTCGTATCTTTCTTTTTATCCGATTCTACTGCGCATTAAATTTCCCGTTGAAAACAAGAGAACTTTGCCGCAAACTGGCCAATGCTGACGGCTGCGTAATAGCGCAATGCAGTGTCCGATGGTCTATAGAATTTGGGGGAAATTGAATTTCTGAATAGAACATATGTACGGTAACAGTAGGAGTAGGAATAGAATAATATTTTTCTACATATTCATTGCAACTTCTTTTTCTTTATTTCGATAATACTCAAAACTGGTTTTATGTGATGTTTTCGCAGTTTATATATGCACACGGTGGTAGATCAAAATTTGCGAAATTTCAACGATTAATAGAGTAACCTCATTCCACAAAACAAAATAGGACGTAAGAAATGACAAGCGTGCACGGATCCAAACAGGAAGTAAAGGAGCCTTTGTTTTTCGTTTCGCGAAATTTTATCACAAACGAGATTACGCAAAGCCTCCCGAGATTTTTATGTTATGTGAGGTATTGCCCGTGAGACGAGTTTATGATGTCCGCGGTGTCCTACTGGGAGATATTACCAAGGTACGTTTTAATTGCCATCGCTGTTTCTCAAAATTTCTGGCAGCTGTGGAAACGGAGTATGCATAGTTCCATACACGCAATGAATACGCAGTATGAAATTTTTCTTGCGGGATTCCACTTCCCGGAAAATCGATTTTGAAAACATATAGGGCGCTCGCTTCATTGAACCACCGTACAGATCCCTGTGCAGGTATCTTGTCGTGTTTACATGCAAACTATACAAGGTTACAATTACCTGAGGTGGTTCGAGAAAATTTATTTTTTCTATTATAACCCATTGAAAAATCGTTGGTCAGGGGGGAAGCACAGAGAACAATGTAGAAGAAATTGAAGAAAACCCCCGAAGTCGATTCGACAACTTTCTAGTTTCAAATGACCGATTGCATTCGAGTAATTAAAATAATTTCTCGTTCGAGTAACCGTATTAAAAAATAAGCGATGTTATTTAAATAATGGCCAGGCTCTAAAATTTAGGCGGGATAGCGGAGTCATGCGCACGCCCGTTATGTATTTCCGCGGTGAAAACGCTGGTGGTGGGGGTAGCGTGCCGTGAGAGGGTGTCGCGCGAGGCAGGTCAGGGCTGGGGCTCAGTACGTTTACGTACATCGTGCCGTTCGGATCGTGTGTGGTGCGGTTCCTCCGCGGTTCTTCCCTCGCTGCTTCTTCGTTCCCTCGTGCATCGAATCTCCCTCTTCGTGGAACTGTGAATCAAAACGTAGCAGGAGAGGACCAGCGGTTGCCGGTGATAACGAAACGTGTGTGAAATTCTCGCGATGCCGCAACCAGCTTACATAATTGTTAGCAGCGTACAGTGAGAGCGTTGCATACGCGCGTGACACACGGAACGACTCTGCCTACTGCACTTTTCACCGATTCTCCTTTGCCATCGTGCTTCTTCGAGTGCCTCCCTCCTGCCTCGGTACGTAACGTCTCTTGCTTTGTCTCTTTCTCGCTCGTTCCCACTATGCTCCAACCCTGCCTCCCGTCTCTGTCTCTCTCGCGCGCGCGTCCCCGTGCCCTCTTTTCCTCTCGCCCCCTCCGTATTCTGACAGCTTGGTCGATTCACGAATCCGCCGGGCCATTCGCTTTTCCCCGGGTCTCTTCAAAATAAGGCCACACGGTCACCCCCTCGTTCTTCTCGACGGAAAAGTCATATTTTTTTTTTCCCTCTTCCATCGAGGCAAGCTCCGATTTACGTGGTCGCCTTAGAGAGCAATTGACGACAGGGGTTGTTCGTTTCGAAAAGGAAAGAAGAAAATGTACTAGAGAGAGCTATCGCGTCGACGGTAAAAATCGACGGGACTTGTAAACAATAAACAAACGGTCGCTTCGGTACGCGGAATTTCTCGTCAACGAAGCGTGCTACCTTTTTTTTTCTTCTTTCTCTCTCTCTCTCTCTCTCACTCACTCACTCCGTTCTGCCATTCAATGAACCTGCATCTAAGTCGAGAAAAAACATCGGTATACCTATAGCTGGTTTCAGTCTAGATTTTAATAAGTCTATACGAAATTTCGGAATTCAACGTTTATATGGGCATTGCGAGTTGTCACGTTTGTACATTAACAGGTTATGATGCAGGCATTTATGATACAGATACTGCTCTGATTATTCCTATATGCAAAGAACTAAACCAGTACATGTACTGATAGTAGAGTAATATTTTTTTATACAGAGTATCTTGTACATTTATGGAATAGATGTTTTGTATAGTCGAATTCTGCTTTATAATCCTTGCCGATGAGTCATTGCCATCCTTTTTGCAAAGATTGCGCTCTCTATATTGGTTTGATTTTAGTTCGTTTTATTTGTGGCTATTCGCTGGTTATGTTTTGTCCTTACTTGCCTTTGTTTGTTTGTTTCTGAAACACAGGTCTGGCATCATATACATATATGTATATATGCAGATTTATTTTCTATTTATTTTGAATCGCTTAAGAAAGCCAAAGTATTCGAAAAGCACAGGCCAAGCAACGATCATGGCATCGCACGGGGAAGACGTAGTAATGATTTTGTTTATATTTTTTGTATTTGCTGACCCCATCGATGGTTTTGCTGGGATGTATCAGTTGGATTACGCAGCAACCGCCACAGCAGCAGAACTTTCAGCCGGTTGAAAGTACCCAGCAGCAGAATCATCTTGTAAGCCAGCAAGTGGAACACAATTCTGTGGAGCCTTCAAAAATGACGGATCCGCGAGAACATCAGCAACAGCAATCCCAACAGCACCAGCAAAATAAAAGCAATGAAGAGCCAAGGACAAATTTGATTATTAACTATCTTCCACAGAGTATGACAGAGAAGGATCTGTATAGTTTGTTCGTAACTATTGGGCCTGTTGAATCTTGTCGTGTGATGAAGGATTACAAAGTAAGTAATGTACCTCGCATACAGAAGTATGTATTGACGGTCTTTAAAAAACTACCAATAACCCTTAATATGTTTCTCTCGCACAGACTGGCTATAGCTACGGTTTCGGATTCGTTAATTATGCCAAAGCTGAAGATGCAGCTACAGCCATAAACACCTTAAATGGGCTTCAGGTCCAGAACAAAAGGCTAAAGGTGTCTTTTGCACGACCATCCGGCGAGGAGATCAAAGAAACCAATCTCTACGTTACAAATTTGCCAAGGTAACAGTAATTCCGTAGTAACTCGAAAATCGATAGAAAGTTAAGCGCGGATTATTAACTTTGTTCTCGTTTTTTTTTCTAGAAACATAACAGAAAGCCAGATCGACGATATATTCAGCAAATACGGGAACATAGTGCAGAAGAATATTCTAAAAGACAAACTCACTGGACTACCGAGGGGTGTGGCATTTGTCAGGTATGACCTCATTCTTTAATGTCATAATCTTTACCAAATCTTGTTACACCTCGGTAAGCGATGTAGAGCGAGTCTATATGTTATGAAACAAAAAAAGGGCAGGGACACTTAGCACGGTAGAGTGAACTACGGTGTTAATAGAGTGTATAGTTCATACTTCTTGGCAGAGTGCCATTGTTGTCATAATTAGTAACGTATTATGACAAGCTGACAGTAACGTTCAACGAAAGACACGGCGGCAATAAATGGTTTTGTCGATCAATTGTTTTTCCCGTTGAAACGTACACCCTCTGGAAATTCGGGGCACGCGTCGATCTAACAGAAACAGCTGTTCCTAATGGCAGAAACTGCTCTGTCATTATGCAACACACTTTCCGTCGACTCTCATAATGTCGCACATGTATTTATTTTCCTACGTATCTCAGCTGCCAAATTATTTTTACACGTTGCGCGTTTCTCACTTGCATAATTTCGATTTTATCCCGCTCGACGACGACCACTGACCTAGTTGGGCCCCTTCTTGAAACACGAATTGTGCGTGGAAGCGTCCACACGCTGGTGGTTTGTTATAGGAAATAGGTACGAAAACTGTGTCAGCCGTGCTGGAAATAGAAGCGAAACTAGTTTGACAATTTCTCTTTAATTTTGGCAGATTTTAAGGACCCGTAACGAGCTCCCTTATAGCACGCTCTAGATCGTACCTGATAAATCTCGTATCGGACCCAGACCTGGCAGAGAATCGCCGGTTTCTCTGCCAACGAATTTCTTTTATGAACATCCCGCGACGAACAATCTTCATCTTTCTCTTGTTCCCAACAGATTCGATAAACGGGAGGAGGCGCAGGAGGCGATCGCAAGACTACATGGCACGATACCAGAAGGTGGATCGGAGCCACTTAGCGTGAAAATCGCGGAGGAACACGGAAAACAAAAGGCGGCGTACTACGCGGGATGGCAAGCAGGATACAACCAGAGTAGAGGTAAGTAGCAGTTCCATGTCTTCGATAGACTATATTAGCCTTGCCCGTACCTCTTTTTTCTTTAACCTGCCAGTAGAAATGATTAATTTTGAAGTACGGTAATATATCATATACACCGGTAAAATCAGAAAAGTGAATACACATTCATATCCGTTAGTTTCATAAATGGTTCGTTGAAAGAAATGAAACGGATTTTTACTGGCAGGTGAAACTTGCATTTTGGCTTCTTTCTGAATCTTTCTTACTGAAGTCGCAGTAAATCATTGCGTTCCATAATTGCCGTTGTTGGAATCGTAGAAGCACCAGTTACTTGAGAAATTTTTGAACGATAGACCGCATCTTCTCTCTCTCTCTCTCTCTCTCTCTCTCTCTCTCTCTCTCCTCTCTTTTTCTCTTTCTTTCTTTAGCTCATCATTTTTGACTCGTGATCGCGTTAACCTTCCTCGTTCTGTTCTTTTTCTCACGACGACACGCGTTCAAATGAAACACCGGGATAGTGATACTTTTCGATGAATTTCTGTAACCGTAATCGTAAAATGTGTACACGCACAAATGATATTATACAATTTTTTTTGTCTGTTACGCACCGTCAAAGGTGCGTCCGATCATTTCACGAGAATATGATCCAGCCGCATCGTTGACAGCGCGTAAAAAACATTTTGGGAACATTGTCTAACGTTTGAATTGTTTGCCAGATATGGCTGCATCTTAAGTCAAAGTACAGCGAAGATTGAAAACATGCTGTTTGCGTTCTTATGCGCGCAACGTTTGTGCGGTTTAAAAAGAATTGTTCTGCGAGTATCATGGAGACACGGATTTCGTTTCGCTGCCGTTCTTTTTTTTTTCGTTTTTTAATTTTCGTTACCTCCTCTGTGTTTTCTCTGTTTTCGTTGACGAGTTTTTCCAAGTTGTGCGCATGAGATTACACTTGTCACGTGTGTGAGAGAAGACTTTTGGCGGTGATTCAGCCATATATAATAGTTCCTTCGCAGACGGACGCCAAACGAACGCAAAATCGTAGTGTTACTGTGATAGAGATATTATGTGTTTTGTGTGTGAATAGTTTTTGGTGGACGAGCTGAAACAAAAAACGAAAATATGACGGAAACATTTGTATCTTTGTGCTAGTCAAGTGGCAGCTTGTGTTGAAACGCGCAACGAAAAGAAACCACTCGCTAAGTTGTATTTTTGCACAGACACAGACACATATATATATACACACACACCAAAGGCTGGTTTAGAAGTTTGTTTATTGAACATTGCCTGGGTCAACGAAACTTGCAACTCTGTTGTTCTATAGTTGCCGCCATTGCTATACTGTATTGATTTTCGCCTAACCGTTTATCCAAACATTGTTCAAGCTACGTCGGAACATCATCCTAGTTCTCATTTTTGTGTCAGCAATATTATGTATACTTACGTCTGAAAGTTGTATGTATTTTTTTTGTTGATTAAGACATATCACAATCTCATACCGCATACATGTTTTGTTACGTATCATTTAAGACATTGAGAAATACATTATTTCCATTCAGAAAAGAAGTTTGTCAATGCTCTTTTTCATCCTCCAAAATGAATGTGGACACTTAGGGTGTTGAAGGTACTTCTACTTACTTTCTTTTTTTTTGTGTTTTTTTTTCTTGGTTCAATTATTATAAACGTATTGCGACCGATTAACCGCCTGTAGTTTTTATGTTTCAAGAACAATCGTATCTTCTCTTTTTATGTGCTCTCAGTAGGACTCTGTGTAACACGTTTTGCGAATTGTTTGTATATATATATACATATATATGTATATGTATATATATATACATACATACATATATTGCTCAAATTAATCAGCGGATCACCTCTGCTGGAATGTTTCGTCGTATCCTGTTGCATCTAATAGAAGTGTTTAAATGTGATCTTCTGATTGGTTTCAGCAGTACATAGAACCCGCAGTTCGCCTGACACACCAACTTGTTGTATGCCTGCGAACAGTTACTCTTTAGCGAGCGTCGTTGCTAATCCGTGGTTAGCTCTGAACAGATTGCATTTGCAGAAAACGTGTGGCTTTAATGGAAGATTTGTTCAGTGCATGGCTGTGTCCAGTATCAAGCGAATAACGCTGCAGTGATGGGCAAGACTGTGTGGAGGAACTGCAGAAGAAAAGAACGGTGTTTTCGTATTATATCCAGTTATTGAGTAATAATTAAGTCATGAATTAGCATAGTCTTAGAGAGTTAAACGCAGATTATTTGCGAATGAATGGTGTATTCAGTAACCGATTTATCACCATTAGTATCGATATCTATTTAAACGACCGCCACACAGTTTTGTCCAGTACTGTACACTTACATACTCTAAATGTCTCGAAAAATAATTCTTTAACATGCCATTTTCATTTCTATGCTCGCCAATCCACGAAGGAGAACGTCTGTATCCGACCAGGAATAAATACCAACGCTACGCGCATTATCTTTATTATTAAAAGAAAAGGGAACGCATTTCTAGTTTGGTTTTATCTCCGTTCGTTGTTACCGTTATTTCCATTAACACAAAACCTGGCGTTTTTTCCTACGATATATAAGTGGCGCTTCGTTCAGAACGTTGTGCGTTCTCTGTTCGCTTTTCTTTCATTTGTATTTTTGCGTGGACGTCCACCGGAAGTGTGTGTCCTCCGTGGGGGCGTCCATTGTAGGCGCGATAAGTCTTATGGTTCCTGATGCTTCAATTTCGTTAAAAATACTCAAGACTATATATATATAT